AATACAACACATTTTAAGAAAAGAACTAAGGATTTAATTGTAAACATGTTTCGGGTGTTCTCTCTCACCCATCATCAGTACAAACTGAAAGGCGAAATAATAAAGAAAAATCTTGTCATTCTTAACTAAGATTATTTATACAAAGAAATGAATGAATATTAATTAGTGAAAACAAACTGTTACCAATTAAGGTAACGTAACGATCGTTCTAGATAATCATATGCAAGGTGTATACACCTTGCATACATTAGTGCTGTATGCTAATTTAAAAGTTGTAAGCTTAAATGTTTGAGTTGAACATTGAGATTTGGACTGTTCCATTTAATGTGTAGTGATTCTTTTATTCGTAATCTAATTTCACTGTTGTCCTGGTCAATGACATTGAAGCAAGTGGTATATTGTTAATGTTTTGTATTTTTTATTTACATTTAGATGTTTTAAAATGTGTGAATTTTTGTCTTTGCCAAGGTGTTCGTCAATCCTAGTACTCAAGTGTCGGCTAGTATAGCCTATATAGGTGGAATTACATCCACCACATTTGAATTTGTATACTACAATAGAGCGAAGATTACTAGGGATTGCGTCCTTGATACTGAACATGTTTTTTATTTTTGTAGTGGTGAAAACAATGTTTAATTTCAATCCGGTGCAATGTTTAGTTACAATATTTTGTATCTTGTATTGAATATCATCAGAATATTTACCAATAAATGGAAGTTTGAAATACATGACTTTGTGAGCATCATCATTAACCTTTGATTTAGTGTAGTTAGTTACACTATTATCAATGTATTGTTTACAAATATTATCAATGACATATGAGGGGTAACCATTTGTTAATAATATGCCTTTTAGATTCATCAAATCATCATGGAAACCCTTCCAACTATTATTGATTTTATAAATTCTGTCAATAAGTGTTTTGATTAGTCTCAGCTTATAAGTTTGTGGACAGAAACTACAAAATGCCAAAAGGAGACCAGTGAAAGTACTTTTTCTGAATATTGTTGTTTTAACTTTGCCATCATTTTCTTTATGTATAAGAACGTCTAAAAAACTTAGTTTATTACAATTTTCATTTTCCATTGTGAAACTTATATTGGGGTGTCTGGAGTTGATAAATTCGAAAAACTCTGTGGCGTCACTTGGTTATTAAATACACAAAATGTATCATCCACATACCTACGATAATGTAGAAAGTGTGGACACTTGGGATCAGAGAGCCAAAGTTTTTCGTTTGTTCCCATGAATAGATCCACTAGGAAAAATTATTATACAAAGGTTAGATGTAAATGCTTTAATTATAAGTCAATTTTAGTTTTTTATAACCAACTGTTGTTAGCAGTCATCGATTGCTATAGTGATATGATCAGTATACGTGTGTGTATTTACATTTAGCTGTGCGTATGCTGATTTTTTCTCCTGCAGTACGCGTTTAATTAACTAACATCAGCTATTGCTATTTTGATAGACTTTCGTCAAAGAAATAAACATTTTAGCATTCGAGAAAGAATACAGTCACTGACATCCTTTTTGGTCGGTGCATGCAGACAGGTAAAATCGTGTGATGATTTCATAACTAGGCTAGGCTACGGCCTAGTAGCAAGAAGTAGGAGTAGGCCAAGGCGGATTCCTGCCTGGACATAGACCTACATTTAAATTTGTTCCTTGAATCTTTAAAAGAGGTCTAGAATATTCCTAGTAAACGTTCAGTTTGTTGCGTTTTTGAGGGTCCATTGATTCAATGAATTCCTTAATTGTTCATACTTAATATTGAAGAATTTGAAGTAATTTTCTTCGGGTTCTAATTAAGCTTGTTTTACGAAACAATTTTCAATTACAATTCAATTTTAGGCCGTAGCCTAGCCTAGTTATGAAATAATCGCACGATTTTACTTGTCTGCATGCACCAACTGAAAAGGACGTCAGTCACTGAATTCTCTCTCGAATGCTGAAATGTTTATTTATTTGACGAAAGTCAATCAAAATAGCATTACAAACAAGTTCTTTCTAACACAATACAAATTACAATAGTTATTCATCGTATCCGTACTGTACTCTCTGATAAACGCGTACTGCAGGAGCTAAATGTAAATACGCACACATATACTGATCATATCACTATAGCAACCGATGACTGCTACAACAGTTGGTTAAAAAAACTAAAATTAAAAGACGGCGATTGACTTATAAAGCAATTAGTAGAGCATGCAACGTACACTAAATGGAAAATTATTATACTTACTGTAGGTTAGATTTAATGCATTCAAAAATTTCTTTCGGGCCTTGCAGGCCCTCAGGAATTTTTTTCAAGCATTAAATCTAATCTTCGTATAATAATTTTCCTATAGTGTACTAAGCAGAGCTCTACTAATTGCTTATAATATGGCAGTATATCTGGAGTAAATGGCTATTTAGGAAATTTAGTGTTTGTATCAACGTTTTTCTTTAATTTGAACAATGCACATTACTGTTCAGTTAATGGGTGCCAATTTAGTCTTGTCTATTTTCCAATAAGTCGTGATATTGAACTACAGGACGAACAGCACATAAATACTCTCAAATCATCGATTTCATCTATCCATCCATTTACATGTTTATATTAAGGTATAAAGTGTATATGAAAATTAAGTCACGGTAACTATGGTTGGAAATGGTAGAAAGTCAGGGGTCACCTATCCAAATTGTAATGCAGTTTTAATGATATAAGAAATTAGAAGCTCTAGAGGGCGTATATCTGAATAGAGTCACATAGTCACATAAATATGTATGGGAAAGGCAGAGGAGGACAAGATTCATTTATCCATACAAACAAATGACCAAAAAGTAGTGCCGTTTGAATGTTGCATCAAATTAAAAACTACCGTATTTACTTGAATAAACACCCCGCTTTGAATAAATGTCAACTCAAATAAATTCCCCCCTCTAAAGCCTTATTTGAAATAAAGGCCTCCATTAAATTAAACGCCACAATAAGTTTCTTTTTTCCTTGAATAAACGCCTCCCCCACCCCCCACCCCCACCCTCCTTAATGACAGTAGACACATCTAACGGAAACAACATCCTTCTCAACACATTCTATTAACATATCATATTTTATCCATGTTAATTCTCAAACCTTATTTGTCTGGCTTAACATGAATGAAATACTACATTATACTACACTTGCAGCTAAATGATCACATTATTATATGATATTTGATCACATTATTATATGTTATTTGATCACTTTTTATTAATGTTCTACCCCAGTAGAATTACATTTTTTTCTAAGGTGGTTGGATCAATAAGTAATTTTGATGGAATAACAAATTTTAATTAAAATTATGTGTTGTAGTAGCCAGGAAATAATTTCTGATGTTCTATTCTGGCATCCAAGACATAGAAATTTGAAACCAGGAAGACCTATGCAAACATACATAGATGTACTGGAGAGAGATGCTGGTCTGCCAAGAGATATCCTCTCATTGGTAAAAGCTGATAGAGAAGAATGGATGATACTAAAAACTAAAATAATAATAAGTGTGGTACGTCCAGCCTAAGTTAGTAAGTAAGAAAGTTAAATTAAGGGGGGTTTTAATTTGAATATATACTGTATGTATTCCTTTCACACACACCAAAAAAAATTAACGGCTATAATTTATAAACGCCCTGGGGTGTTTATTCAAATGAATATGGTACTTAATTAAAGCTAAGTCACAACTATGATGGGAATTCTGGTTAAAAGATTAAGGGTCACCTCCAAACCAAAATCACTAAATAATATAGGTGGAATGTTGTCGTGAATTCAAAGCTAGTCACATTCATACTACACTTCACATAGCTTAGAATAATACGGTGGCGAATTTTAATAACATGACCTTCTCATTCTAGCTAAATGTACGGAGTACAAACAAGAGTAGAATAAAGACCCACAGGGTACAGTGTTTTATCACTAAAGTAAAAGGCGAGTTGATGTATGAACACAAGCTTTTTCTGGTAATACATAAATTAATTACAATCGTTGTTCATCTATTATGGAGTTTACGGACGATTACTAGGCAGTTTTCGCCGCATGATGTTTTAACCTTAACGTTAATGGATGACGTCATAATTTATTCATCTTGCGTTGCGGAGTACGTTAATTTCAGGATTTTACGTGCTCGACGTCCATTAGTTACGGGTTTGCGCATGCGTATTTTGATTTGTTTACAATAGGGAGCTATCGTGCTGCATGGTGGGTACTAACGTTAAAGTTAAGGTTAACATCGTGCGGCAAAAACTACCTACTGTTTCATAGTGTAGGCTCAATGACTTAAGATAACATTTTTTGTATGCAATCTAATTATCATATTAACTTACTGCTCTTTGTGGTATTATTATGTTGATCCAGATCAGTGTTCTTCACTGTATTTGCAATGTGTACATGCATATAAAGTGTAGCGCATAGAGTACAATGCAAGTGTCTTCACAACATAAGGTGGCGCCCTTTGTTTTCAATGACTTCATATTCTTAATGGTTTAGAATAGGCTTTCTGGAATAGGCATTTTAAAGCCTAATAATTTACCATCAAAATGTACTAAAAACACAAAAGCTCGCATTGTATTAGTTATCTAACACATTTAATCATCAATTAAAATTTACAATAGTATCACATGGTATCGTGAAGTAAGAACGTAGTACTCTATAGAAGCGCATAGATAGAATACATACACTGTAGGATAGTTGTTGGTATAGGCCTAGGGGTATGAATTATGATGCGGAGGTCTATTTATCAATGTTTACCACTGTTTTGCTTTTCATAGCAAAATGCTTTATTGCTGAAACATTAATAAAATGATTGAAATTTTAAGAGTGATGGCACATTCTTATTAATTTGACTTGACTCTTATAATTTTTACTCGACGTACACTATGTTCTCTGGTTAAACCACTATGATTTCAATTCAATATGGAATTAAATTTTTTAAAGCTTCTTATCTCATGAGACTGTACATATTTGAAAGCACAAGTGCACTTACCGGACGACCCGGAATACCAAATTGACCTTTCTCTCCCTTCTTTCCTCGATGTCCTTTTTCTCCTGGGTCTCCTTTAATCTCCAGAAACTTATCATTATCAGGTATGTATGGTTCTCCCTTTTCGCCCTTTAAAAAAAAACATACAGTTCATTAATTTTACAAAATAAATAAATATAACACAATATAATCATATTAATACAAGTGTACAAAGGTGTTTGGTGACCACCACTAAATCTCTTTCAAAGGACTCATTAGGGTTTTGCTTGCTCCCTGAGTGGGGAAATATTATACATAATACAACATAATATAATTATATAAATAAATATAACATAATACAACATAATATAATTATATAAATAAATATAACATAATATAATTGCTTGCTTTCGGGGAGGGGGGGGGGCCGATTTCCTATGACCCGCCAATTTCCCATGACCACCCCGATTCATACACCTAATGTATGAATCAGGTGTGGTCTCTCGAATGGCCGAGCAGTTAAGTTAGGGGCGCAGCAACGTACAGCCATAATATCGCCGTTGGTTCGAACGGCACACTCGCCTATTGTTCTGGTGGTGGAATAAGTCTTCTCGGATAAAGACATTAAACCGTAGGTCCAGTACACACAATTTGGCTCATGTGCACTTTAAAGAACCCAGTACATCTTTTGAGCAAGTAGGGGTCACCTCGGCGCACTTGTTCATACAGCTCCTGCTGTGGAAGGACAAGAGATAGTTGGTACCAGTTTACTGGGTAGTTGAGACATGAAGAGACCCATAGGGGAGAAGAAAATTACTGTACGAGATAGTCCACTCCTTGAGTGCTTTGAGACTCCGGTATAAAGCGTTATATAAATCTAACTACATTACATTACCACCACCACTACCACTGCTTGACTCAGTGTCACTCATTCTATATTATATAGTTATATAGTTCTACTTGGCAATTAAAATGCTTGATGTAAAATAGTATACAGGGCTCTGATAGGTCAATTCTAAAAATCTATATCACAGCTGGGCAATGTGCGGCTCGACATTGATTGTTTTGCAGCCTGCTAAAACAAATTAAAAACCCCATGTATGCGGCACGCCAACAATCTTTGCCTGGAAAATACCTTTTTTTAACGGCCCAACACCTATCATCTATAAAAAGTTATATTAAAACTGAGAATAAAGTGGTATAAAAGCAGTTCATGTAGGTTATAAAAAGCACGCTGGGACCAACAAAATCTGATGCGGCCCTCGGTGTTAAATAAAAATTCACTTTGGCTTAGGTCCAACCGATATTTATGCCCACTCCTGCTCCTCACACACACACACACACACACACACAATGAAAATTTCCTTTGATTTCTTAGAATAGACAAAAAACAAAAAGTATAGAAAATGAAAACTAGTGACTTGTTCAATGCCTTAATGAAAAATTCTTATGAATCAGCCCTTCACAGCCAAAATCTTTGGTTTATTCTTTGGCTCCAGTACACTACATCACTGAAGCACTAACAACTACAAGTTGGAAATTGGTAAGGTCAACACAGGCCGCCAATAAAAAAAAAAACCCCAAAATTTTAATATCATATTTTAATTTGTGCATACCTTTTGACCACTTGTTCCATGGAATCCATGCTGACCATCGGCACCACTGCTGCCTTTTTGTCCTTTTTCTCCCTTTTCACCCTATTGGGGGTGGGGGGAATTTACAAGTCAACAGCAAAATTATTTTCCTTACGAAACATATATTATTTATACAATAGATTCAATGGAGAGCTGAACTATAAGCAAGTTTGACATTTGACATTGGAAAATAGAACAATGCAAGCAAAGGCAGAAGTGCTTTACACTGTACAAACGAAAATCATACCAATTAGAACAAATAAAATATTTATAGTAATGAAATTATTTCCACAATATTTCTTATAACATAATAAAAATAATATTAAAAACAACATAACAATAATAGTAATAATAATATATTTTTTAACAATGATAATAATAATATTAATAATCATAATAATAATAAATATTATTATTGTCATCTTTTAAAAGCCAACATGTCAATCGCACAAAGAATTGTTCGTGCCATATGTTTTTAATCACTGCTGCTCATGAGCCCGTGCCTCAAGAGTACTAAACATTTAACTATGATATTTCATCTTATTGTCGTGATTACTGTTACACCAATTTTAAATCCCTAATTGTGGTTAGATGTTATTAGCCCTATTCAACTGGTAGTTCTATGTTAAAAGTGCCTGTGCAGTGGTAAAATCCTGCTTAACAAAGACAACCCCACAAACAACTGTTAAATACTCAACAAAACAAAATGACTTCATAGTTACCATGATACACGCTAGTGTAGTCAAGGTTGCTTCAGCTTGTGATACTTGGGGGGGGGATTTTTTTGATAGAAAAAAATGACCTGTATTGTTGTAATTTAGTTAACATACAATTATTGTTCTACTTTATGTGTGGGCAAATATTATAATTATTATTTTCTGAAATTTAATCAAAATTATATTAACCCAATTGTTTTGCCAATCGAATATGTTTGTTTTGGTGACGTAGATAACTTATTGAAAATTAACTCTCTGGTTTACGTTAACTTCCATTAGCGAAGCCTATTTTATGAATCAGCCTAATGAAAATAATACTCCAAGAAAAATCAATAATATTAATAAACAAAACGAACCAAATACAGCCATTATATGTATGGATTGATGAGGGCAAAACATCCAATCAGAATTTAGGTATTCGTTAAACAATATAGTGTAACAATTATAGCCATTATTGTACAGTTTGCTATGTAATCCAGCTAGATTTTGGTGCCAAAATGGATTTTATTGGTTAACATTGGTCATTTTTGTTGTGCTGAATTCAAAAAAGTTAGGTGCGATTACTTTTTATCCACGTCATCAGCCACCATTTTGAATTTAAATATGGCCGATACACCACATAAAACACGGTTATGTTTGGTGTCAATGGAAAGGGAATTATGCACTGATCATTTTATTCCATTACACCTATACCTAATAAAACATATTTACAGAGATATAGACCAAAGAATAAAGTCACATGACCCAAAAGGTCAAAAAATCAAACTCACCAAAATCTATCGTGTTTGGTATCGTTGGAAAGCTCTTCCAATGCTGAATAAGGCTGTACATTACACATATATTAACAATTGTGTAGTTTTCCATATATTGTCCCTTAAGTCCAATTACGGCATACCATATTAAAATAAACAGGACCCATTTGCATAATGCTTGTGAGCTCTCAGGGTTGGGTAGACACTCCTACTACCTAGCACTTTACCACCAAGCCTTAACAGTGCCATAACACATGTGCTTTCTGGGCTATGTCCCAGTTCAATTGGGTCCCAGAGTGGCCACAGAGGCCCTAACTACTGTACTACTACTCTACAACGCCTTGACAATATAGTATCTTTTTCTATAATTTTAAAACCAAATAGACCAAAATCCCACAAACACACTCTTTGGCAGACTTATTAGAAGGGGTCCTTCCAACTATGACCCAGCATTTGACTATAGAGGTTTGGCCAGTTATGTAATGCCTGTGTGCTTTCTGGGGAAACGCTTAGTTTGATAAACCAATACACTTTTTGTTTATTTAAGAACCAGCAAAATTTTGCCCAGGTTGTCTTCTTATTTTTTTGCTTGCTAATCTCAGACTCAAAATGTTGTTATTTTGTTGTTATCTTTACACATTTTTCAAACAGAGAAAATTATTATTGTATGGCAGTATATTACTGTACTGTATCACATAGGGTATTACATAGCCATGCCTATTGAACTGCCTATTGAACATCGGGTATAGTTAAGATTTGTTAGTTTTTCTAGTTTTTTAAAAACAGAAACCTTATTTGACATTTTACCTCAGCCTCAATTTGTTCTTATTTTGTTCTTACTTTTTAAGCAATTTCAGCCTCAACGTTTTTATATAATGTGTTCTTATAAAAAAAAAAGTGTAAGGAAGTAAAATGTATTTAGCATTTGATAAAACATTCAGCTGATCAGAAGCTTTCAATTATCACTAGCTACATTAAGTACATTTAGGCTGATATAAGGTAGAATGGGTGAAAACAACAGAAGGAACAGTTTCTCCCAAGAAAATGCACAGAACTTTCTGCACCTAAGGCTATACTTGAACTTGTAAAGTGTCAATGTCGCGGTGAAAACATAAATGTATTGATCTAATTCTGATGTAGCAATCTAATGCTTTATCAAACAATCATTCAATCAATCGTTATCAGGGGCGGATGTATTTAATTTTATTGCCACGGGATTCAGCCAGTACCATATTGTCAAAAGTTTCCTATTTGAGTACTCGGTAGTAGTGAGGGGGGCCTTTGGCCTCAATGGGGCTCATTTGGACTTGGAGGAACTAAGCGTTTCCCCAGAAAGAACACAGGCATTACATAATTGGTCAAACCTCCATAGTAAAATGTGGGTCGTAGTTGGAGGGACCCCTTCTAATAACCATGTTTTATGTGGTGTGTTGGCCATCTTTGAATTCAAAATGGCGGCTGATGGCGTGGATCAAAAAATGGCACCTAACTTTTTTGAATTCAGCACAACAAAAATGACAAAGTCAGTCAATAAAATCCATTTTGGCACAAAAATCTAGCTGAAGCCCAATTCCTGACATAGCAAACCAACTATTACCTAAATTTTAATTATTATACTGATAAAGATAATTTTTTGACAATGATGTCTTAATTCTCACCAGTGTTCCTGGTGTACCATCGAATCCCTTGATGCCTTGTGGACCAACATCTCCAGAGTCGCCTTTAGGTCCCTTGTAGCCCGGTACGCCATCCAATCCCCTGTCTCCTTTCTGTCCCTTCTCGCCGTGAGGGCCTTCTACTCCTATTACCCCTGCAGGCCCAACAGGTCCAATTTCACCTTTCTGTCCCTTCTCCCCAGCTTCTCCTACTAATCCTGAACCCTGAAAAAATATGAACATGCTAGCTAAAAAAGTACCATTACCAAACTTCTGCAATGGTTGAGGTTCCAATACTTATATATCTGAATTGTAATACTGCACAAAACTATCTGCCATGACAAACAAAATTAAAATTCAATTCCATATTGTATATTTAAGTAACGCCGACATATCATACTCTGAGCTATTGATGTTTTATTTACAATTTTGGGTGTATACATAGCGTATTTATAACGAGTTGGACGTATACATAACATAATAATCTATATAGACGCCAATATATGGTAGCTGTAAGTTAAAAACATGTTCAGTAAGTTTTGTGGTTGTCTGGGACATGTCAAATACGTCCATATAAGTTACACATAGGTTCGAAGCACGTTACTTATAGGTTAAAAATAATTTTTGGGTACGCTAGACATCATCTCTATGTATTTCGACTTATGAGTAAAACTTACAAGTAACATGTGTGAACGATCACATATGGCCCACGTATTCCGGACGTATGAGCCATACGTTGGCATACATCAAAAATATTTTGTGCAAGCACAACATTTTTTGGTGACCTCGCCAAACTACTACGCATACCAGCATGCTTCAGCATGCTCTTAACTTGTACAGAACTTACCCATAACTTATTCAGCGTTCACCAGCGTATCCACCAAACATTTCATACGTTGCATACGCTGGCTAAATAACTTATAATTACAAATTTGTTCTTGAACCACTCACTCACATAATGTATGCCTTTGTCTTAAGCATTGGTAATATCATTAATAATCAATTGATACTTACTTCAAAGATATCTGAATGTGTAGGTGCAATACCAGGTGGTCCTGGGGGGCCAGGTGGACCTTTTAGTCCTGGGGGCCCAATTGCTCCTTCGTCCCCTTTAATAGATTCACCGGGACTACCCTATGAAAAAAATCAATTAAAAAAAATATATATACAATCTCTTAAAAATAGAGAATCACTTTTAACAAAATGTTTTGCTAAAGTAAATTTTTAAAATGATGGCAGTCAAAACTAGAGAAAATATATGTTACTGGTTGACCTTCTCTACTATATTCACTTGTTCAATACCATCTCAATACATGGTCACTAGTATTCAAAACCATTCCTATTTGTTCTCATTCATATTATATATATATCTAGAAGGCATATGTACAAGTAACATTAGCACACAATTTTTCAAATAAGACCTTTTGGTATGTGTTTCACTTCCTTTGTAATTTTAATTACTTATGTAAGCGTGAAGTTGAATAGCTCAGTGGTTTAGATGCTTGCCTTCTGATCCCAGGATCCTGGGTTCAATTCCTGTCACAGCAGGAATATTTCTCACAACAAAAAACAACTCCACTCCCTAAGCCTCATAAAGAGCCTTTGCTTATAAAGCATCATTCTCATCCTGTAAGTGGTGAGTGTACAGTACTTGCTGTTGGATGTGAGGGAAATAAAAAAAAAAAAAAGAAGCTCTATTTACCTGCAGTCCTCCTAGTCCAGGAATCCCTGGGAAGCCACGTGGACCCTGAATAAAATTAATTTTTACAAAGAAATCTTTAGTAAACTTGCTGAAATGTGTTGTACAAAATAAAATAACAAAATGAAATAACTTTAGCTTCATGCTGCGAGTCTGATTTTCTGGAAATGGGAACCAATGCAATAGACTTGCAATAGGCAAAATTGCGGTCTACACTGGGCACCGCAACCCACGATGAATGCTACGTTCCCTATGATAGGAGGAATATAACCTGAAACAGGTCTTATCCCAAGATATGAAAAAACAAAAATAACACACCCACACTCATATGCTTTGGATCAAATGAAACCCTGTAGAGCTACATAAAATGGACAGAGCATTCAACCAGGGACGTTGATTAAAGTATTAAGACTTGATAATGTAGGAAGACTACCAAGAAAACTTGTTTAAACAAATATAATATTATCTTAGCATGTGACACTTTTATATTAATTTTGTTTCGTATTGTTACATCTACATTTATAGTAATTCTATAATTTTATGTACTTGAACTGTACTTACCTGTAAATGTAGATATAACAATATAAGGCGGATGAAATTGTATTGGTATATCTACACTTACAGTAATTTTATAAACCTGAACTGTACTTACCTGTGGACCTGGCAACCCTATTGGTCCTTGGTCACCCTGGAAACATAAAACATATTAAATGTCACTGTATATAATAATCAAAATATCTAGACTAATAAAAAGCAGTATGTACTTCTCGACCGAAATCAATGTTATTCAATTATTGAACATCAAAGAAATATGTAAAATGAGTTGAAATTCTATACCTTAGCACCATCTTCACCAGGTAGTCCAGGCAAACCCTATAATGAAATAGAATACAAAATTACTGTGTAATCCTCAATATTCACTCATGGTATTCCTTGATATTTACATTCTAAGAGACTAGGATGCTTTCAACCTAATCAAAGCAAGCATAGGTTACACAGAGAAAATAATATCTTTAACTATAACACATAGCCACCATGCTATCTCTGTGAATGTGGCTGTAAAATCTTGGACCCATTATCTACAACCATGCAAAAAAATCTGCTGCTTCAGGGATATGACAACCACATATTTTAAACTTGTTATACTTATTTTGGTTTTTAACATGCAGTATAAATATATAAAAAATAGTACTGTACACTAAAACTTTTATAGCAAGGTGTCTGTTGTAGACCCAAGTTGTAACTTGTTTTTGAGAGTGAGTGGTGTTGTTCAATAAAAAATGTCATGCATGATTTCACACACACCTTCAAGCTTGCTGCATACAGCTGTTCAAGGCCTTCCACTAGTAATTTGATCAAACAATTTCATCTGCCTTATTTTTATTTTTTAGTAAGCTTATCATAGCTGCATCTGTTGTAGACACTATCTTAAAATCATAGTTTATAATGCCAGACAGAAGCTATATAATTAGCTCCATAGCAGCGTTAATTGTCTATCAGTAATGATAGATTGTGTATAATACTAGGTAGATACATTATTACCTATATCCACGGGAGGAAAAAAAATTAGTGTTCTTGAAAGATTACTTACGGATGGTCCAGTAAGCCCAAGATCACCAATTGAACCTTGATCACCTTTTTCTCCTTTGGCACCCGGTAGTCCAGGTATTGGCTGAAAAAATTTAATGACAATCGTAAATGCTAAATGCATCTGACTATCATACCTCATATACATTTAGTTTACCTACAAGAATACTATGTCACTATTATTGATTTCTGTAACACTTCTAATTACTTAATCATTGAAAAAAATAAGTAAAACATATTTAATAATAATATAATTTAAATTAAAAAAAAAAAAAAATTAATATAATTATGTCATACCTCAACTACTTCGTTTTCTTTATTACCGCTTCCAGAGCCCTCAAAATCTGATGTCTGTACGATATTTAAAAAATTCAAATAACTTTTAGAATGTAGGCCAAGGCATGAGTAGGCATAAGTCTAGATAATGATGCTAGTGATGTGGAAATGAGAATAGAACTACTGTTGACTATGTATGAGGTTGTCAGAACATTTTTGGGACCGCGCAAGGCGCTGACCCCAGAGCCTCACTGCTGTTCTTGTTTTTGTTACTAAATCTTTAAAAGCGTCCAGCGTCGCCAGTTTTGAACGAATGTGCAGGAAATTTTGTACACATAAACTAGGTGATTTCCAACAAATGTTCAACGCCCTTTTTTAAGTTGGACCCCAGGGTCCCCCTACACCTAAAAAACAAAACGGGTTTCAGCGAAGGACTGTACATTACTGCCATTACTACTAATAGGGCACGTCACATGGGTGGTGCGGTCGGTTAAGGATGTGTAAGAATTTAAGGTTGTGAGTTTGAATCGCATCTTGGAATTCAATTTTTTTTTCCACTTTCAAGAAATTTTACTTTTTTCAATTTTAAGATATTTTAATTTTGTACAAATGAACATTCTAAATTATTTTTTTTTTGTACAAATAAACATCCTAATTATTAAAAAATTACTATCTTATTAGCTCTTCCAATAAACCCAATATAATATCTTGCGCTTGTACCGTATTTAAGCGTGGAGGAACGCGCGGACAAGTGTGCGGTTGATCTTGTGTGTGTGACTGATTATATTTCGTATTTCATAATATCTTCAATTTCAAAAAAATAATAAAATGCAGAAATAAGGGTCGTAAGTGCATAAAACAATCAATTTTTTTCAGGTCTTTAAAGAAATTTTCATTTGAAGACGTTAATTTCAAAGCTTAATAAATAACTTTGCAGATGCATGACTGTACGTTGATAGCTACACCAGAGGCATTTTGTGCAGTAACAGACAAGACAAGAAAAGATAATATTTTTGTAAAACATTCACATCAATCATCATAAATAATGTGTTTTCTTTCGTCAAGAAAATATGCGTAAACTTACAAATAATGGTGTCCATGTAGGTGGAATTCCAGGTGGTCCTGGGGGTCCTGGTGGCCCTGGTACCCCAGGCTGTCCAGGTAATCCACTTTCACCCTGTAGCCCAATCATGCCTTGCATACCAGTTGGGCCCATTGGGCCTGTATCTCCAGTTTCACCCTGGAACAAACAAAACATATATATTAATTGTTTGAGTATTAACGTATTATATTGGTGATCATTAATTTTACTTTTTATATATAATCTTTGTGTGTTTCTTGTATTATTTTTTATTCATTTTGCTGTGCATAACAAAATTCTCTATACACTTTGCAACAGCAAACCTAACAAATATTATAACTTACCACCATTACCATTACTGAAAAATGTAGTATGCATTCTTTAATTTATATCACGCATACTGAGGTGTTTGTGGAATGCACTATATTAGTAGATTTATTAACATTATCATAAATATATGGCAAAATAAAATCATGCTTCTACCTTGCTTCCATTCTTGCCATCAACTCCATGTAGGCCCATGTCACCCTATCAAAATATAATCAAACATACTCTTTAACTTTAATTTCTCTTATTTTTATTTATCAAAATATTCTCCATTTTTTTTTTGATGGTTAAGCGCTTAGAGGAGTCAAGAATTTTGAGCTATATCAAACTGAACATTATTACTATTATTAATACTATTATACAGCTGTTGGAAACTTACTGTAAAATTATTCTAATAAACATTTTAGTTGTTAATCATTACAACACACATATCAACATATGAAACAAATATGGAGACCACCATGAAAGTTAAATCAATTCTTGAACAAGTAGTTAATCAAAGTCTTGTCTTCAGATATCAACTGATTAGAGACTGTTTTAACAGAGCAAATTCAATTATATGGGGACTATCATAATAAAGTATGATACATCGTAATAGTGAGTTTTTATTCATTTTTATAGCTGGGTGTTAGGATGGGAAAGTATAGATGCTGGTATCATTATGCATTATGAGCAGGCTGGCCAATGCGCCATAAATTGCAGGCGAAGGATGCGATTATAGCTAGTTTCCCAGCATAGGTGCTTCTTGTTATCATTTTCAAGGTTTAGGATAGGAATTATTTCATGGCTTATATTTTTGATACGATGCACTTTAATTTACATTTGAAGTCTGACTACCAACTTCCTTTAATTGATACCAAATATTTCCTACTGGCAATTGGCTAATACATTTATTATTATTATCATGACTTATGGCAAAATACAGAGCAACTCTATATAGCTGCAAAATACATCTCATCAAATTTAGCTCTTTGAAAGATTATAAAAAATGCTTCATATGTACAGTGGTGTAACACCAAGCTCTCACAGAATATTAACCAGCAGCTTGGACAACTTCAGAGCAGATGTTGGTTTAACCCGTACCAAACTAAGACCCTACACAGCCCCATGGAGAGGGTTAGACAGGGCCTTCAATATTCTTAGTTACACCTACTGCATATGTACATTTATATTTGTATTTATATAATACTGTTACATTGAAATTATTGATGCCTTGTAAACTTATAAATGTCATTTAAATCATGTGATCGATTGTAGCGAGCTACATTTAATTTCCTTTTTTGGATAAATGAAGTTTTTTTTTCATTCTGGTTTATTATTAAAAGAACAAAATTTGACATTGCAGTGAATTGCATCAAACTAACAAAGATAAACTGAAACATACAACAACATTCAAAAAGCAAAGCACAACAATGTATTAGGTTTGTAAATATAACAATTTCTAAGATATAAATTAGAAAAATCACAATTTAAGGCAACAAGCATATGAGTAATGATATATTGAAATCGCGTCTGCGTTTAACTCACACAGACCCGACGCGTTGGGCAGCGTCGTACGACGCTGTCTGAGTTGGCCTTAACACATCAGGTAGGGCAAACATCATTTTGTGTTATTTCTCCTGACGCAATACGCCATTGGAATTTAGACAAGAATGTGACCTCACACCATTTTTTAACGTCTTGTATCAGACAGCAAACAAAATATAATATTGCTATTTAACGTAGTACATAATACAAAATTTGATTTTCAATTAAATTATGTTTATATCATATTTAAAAGCAGAAGAGATACAGACATAAACCGTATTAAAATGGAATGTGGAAGAAAGGTTTTAAAGATAAGCCACTTATTAGGGGTACAGTATGCTACTGGATGTATATATATTAATGTTCATTAATATAGATATAGAACAGTTAAGGCCCTTTCAGATAGAAGTTGCCGCAATATTGTGGTAAGCATGCCGGCATAATTACCAGTCAATACCCTTTCACACAGCGCCTTTGTTACTTGAATATTGCGGTAATCTTGCGCTTGTCTGTCTGAAAGGGTCCTATAGAATGGTGTAATATTGGCAGTTTAAATACCGCCAATTGTTTTCAATTTTAACCTTGTTTTTTTATATATACTGTATAAATGCACACGCCAGATTGATTGCCGCAATACCAAGTAGACCCTTTCAGACAGAGCAAACCAGTAACCGTTACTGCAATATTGCGGCAATATTACTAGATGCCGAGGTGGTCTAAAGTAAGCCGGCATATTGGCGTATTGACCCTTTCAGACATTATTGCAGCTGTCTGAAAGGGTTTAGTAAATGTAGAACCACATAAAGAAAATGCCAATTTCCAAATTACTTTGCTTATTATGTTAATGTATATTTTATGATGCAACTCATTTTATGATGGAGAGTCAACTTATATATTTATTATAGAGAAAATTGGTTCATGGTCAACAACTTAAGCAATTAATTTACTTCATCATGATGATTTATTTATAACAGAAGATTAATTTAATTATGATATTAACAGTTATTATTACACCATTTAATTTACCTTCTCTCCCCTTGCTCCTTGGAGTCCAGGCTCACCTTGTAGGCCGCTATCACCCTTGATAAACAAGAAAACAACTTCTTACAATTTATTTATATTTTGTTACTCTGATCACTGTTGTAACAATGCAAAAAATATGGTTACCACACTAGGCATATTTTTGCAGCTCTCTTTAATATTTATTAACAAGTAAATGTTCTTTTTTAATATTTATATGTACTGTACCTTCTGTCCTTGTGGACCAACAGGGCCTGGAGGGCCTTCAACTGTTGTGTAATTCATACCCCCTAGACCAGGTGTTCCAGGCTCGCCTCTTGGGCCAGGCGGTCCAGGGGGACCAACTGCACCAGTAGAGCCATTGAATCCACGTGGTCCCATGTCCCCTTTCGGACCCTGCTTTCCTCTTTTTCCCTATGTAACAAAAATATAAGTATATTGTTAATATACATTTTTCAATTTGTATAGTTATCTACTATCTTGAATTGGTACTACAAAAACATAAAATTCAATTTTTGTGTGAAAATTTAATTTGGATTTAGAACAAAAATGTACTTAGAACATAGACTCAAGTCAAAAAGATTTGATAAAGGATGAAGGGAATTGAAAGAAATCTTTTTCTAAAGTTCTTTCATTTTTAAATTCTATTCTATCTAAAGCCATACAATAAAATGATGAGATTGTAGTTTGCCAAGTTTTTAAAATTTAGAACATAATTTTATTAAAACATAAAAAATATAGGAAATACAAGTAAAGATTTATATGTTGTAAAAAGAATTTTAAATTAAGTAAACACAGAAAGATTTTTATTACTTTCAATGTACTCTATTTTGTTTTGACAGTGGTATTTTGAGTGTAAGATTTGCTTTACTTTATTTAATGTTTTGTTTTTGTTGTATACTTTCACAAACTCAAATAAATAATTAAAAAATAAATTATAGTCAAGTGAAGTGGCCTACTATTTAGTCACATGATCACTAAAAAATAACAGGTAGATCATATTGGATATCCCTGTTCAGGTCTGGAATCTCAGTGTAGATATTCACTCCTAAAATCCAACAGATACTATCTACCGGCTATTTTGAATGACCTGCCATCACACGATCTCCCCAGAGTGGTCATGTGACTATGTATGCACCAAGATGCTGACGCGATGACAGTGAAAGCTACTACAGGCAAATGACATTATCTTTAAAAGGAAACTTGTTTATGACTTAGATTATTATAACATATTGACATTATGTTCGTTTAGAACTCATATCCAATTAAAAAAAAGAGTTGAAACCTTTATCAATTTCTATCATTATAATTAAACCTGTTAGTGACAATCATTTAGACTGTAAATTTGTTGAATAACCTTCATGCATATTTTGAAAAGTATCAGAAATATTAATTGGACCCAATTAGATAGGTAAAAGAACAGACATGTTGGAAGCTTTTAAATTTAGTTTAGAAGGTGTTTTGAAGAATGAAATACAGTAGGCATGCATTCCTCTGGCAGTTACAATTCTTCGACAGTAAACATTTTTTCATTACAGACGGATTAATTTTACTACAGGTATCTAGTAAATCCTTGTCAAGCCACTAGGGCTCATAGAAATGGAACTCCAGTGTTTCTGTGGTGTGCAACGGATACAAGTGTAGTGCTCCCCAGCAATACACCCAGAGTAGACTGAAGACATTTAGATAAAGTGCCTTGTGTCATTACTACTTCCCTGCGCATACCAAATCTATAAGTACGTAGGAGAAAAAAAAAATACTACCCAAAATCGACTATGGCACGCCTGCCTATGTAAGTTGTATGCAAACTGTGTAATTTTTACCCTCACAGATTTTACTACTTCACCTCAAATCATGTTGTATTTGTATACTACTAAAATCTTAAGAGGTTTATAGCGCCACTATCAACTGCGCCAATTTTTGCTATTTGCGATAGCAAGAAATAAACGTAAATTGTTTACCCTACCTGAATTTCCTCCCACATTTCATCTCCAGAGCCAATATCGTATATTCCCTGTGGAAAGAAAAGGACAAAACAAATTGTATTCAATCCAAATTCTTCCCACTCGCTGTTGATTTGCCCTTCATTGAATACATTTTTTTAATGTTTTCCACTAAAAACATAATCTACTGTAATAGGCCAATAATTAAGGAAATTAAAAGAGTCTGTTAGTATGATTAAACAAAGCAACTTGCAATCAAATAATTATAAATTAAAGACAAAAATTAATATAGAATGGAAAGTAAGTAACAATTTCTTTTTTAATTAATATAATTGCAACATAATAAAAATATATAAAAATGATAATTTTGACAACAATTATAATTAAAATTCTGGTAAATATTATTAATTAAAAATACAAAAATAATTAATACCAACAATGCCACCATAGTGACAATAAAATCCAAGCTTTTATGCTTTTGACAATAATAAATGTATGTACTATATAAATAAAAATGGAATCAAGGATAAAAAAAATCTTATCAAATTATGAAGAGTAGTTAGCATACAATCAAAAATTTGGGTTAAACAGTAACATGAAAAACCGTGGGAAGAAGCAAGCTTTACAGATTCTGTCCTTGACGTACAAACAGATGCAAGCTAGACGGCTGTTCCGTTGCAAAACAATGTAACTTGAATTTTTGCACTTTTCAAGAATAATAGTGAGCAAGTGTGCAACTTGGCAACTGATTGTCATACCCTTCTAAAATATTGCTGGACCATATATCTAGAGAAAATATGATTATATGTAATACTTCAATTACAACCATTGGTGTATTGCAAAGTTATTAACGATATTTACAGATAGATTTTTTTACCTTGGAAACATTAAGGCGCAGTATTGCCTCAAGTGTGACATATTTTTTTGAATTTATCCCGTCTAAGTCAATCATAATGCATTATCTAGCTTGTACATACGCCATTGTTAGGATTTGTGGATATGAAAACACCATCTTATCTTCATCATAGACACGTTGTTTTTCCCTGTAATCTTGCAGTTGTGTTGTTTTACCACAGAAAATTACTAGATTTTAATTTTTATGCTTAAAGATATTTGGTGCTATCTCCAAAAACAACTCATTGTTGAGACCTGAAATTTTCACAGGTAATTCAAGAGTACCAAATATACTCTAAAACCAGAAATTGAAAATTGCAAGTGAAGTGCTGCGAAGTACAACTGCATAAATGTTCTTCGAACAAAATTATTTATGCAAGTCAAGTGAAAATAATGAATAATAAAACTATAACAAATAATATGAGACACGACCCATTGTCTATATTAGAACACTTCTCATTGAGTAACAAAGTCGTAATTTTTAATTTTTGTCAAAAAGTGTCTATAGTGTGGTGAATTATGGTTTAGGTTTTTTTTAATAAAGTTTTAAAAATTTCTATGTATGTGGAAAATGTAGTTGATTACCAAAGGTTACAATTTTTATTTTGAAGACTGCATGGTCTAGGAAGAGTACATTTTTTTATGGGGAAAATTTCCAAGGGCGGGTTTTCTAGGGGTGAGTTGACTGCGTGCCAGCGTGTTATTTGATCACAAGTGCGAGACATATCACAAGTGTGAACCAGCGAGCCATGACGTCACGACAATAGATAGAGACGTTAACCAGTTGTGCGAGGTATCGGCTGAGATTTGTGGAGTACAATTCAAAAAACAACTATAGGTCTAATAATGAATTATTGTGATGTTAAATAGACAATGTTAGCTATTAAAGAGCGACGTTGTTTTTCATTGGGACCTTCGTCCCTTCAAGGCTAGGCCTATACCATCCTAGCTAGTCTAGGCCTAGAGTAGGATAAGGCTAGCACGACATGCGGACGTTGGTACGAGTAGGTTAGTCTACAAACGTCGCCTGAAGTAATTGCTTTTACCCGGCAGAACGAAAGAAGGAAACTCCGCATTTCAGTCGTCTTAGCCACTCGTTTTTTGACAATGACCTTTCAGAGGTCAAATTGCTGTCAAGAATATAAATTGGCTGCTTCACAGCAATAATATTACTGTATCTCAAAACCAACAAAAATGCGAGTTGCGTTGTTTTGCCTCGGGACAGCCGTAGAGGCTGAACAAAAAAAGGGAATATTTAAGGTAACAAACATATACATAATGGTAACTAAAAATCTGTAAAGGTGTCATTGTGTTTATTCGTCACTCACCAGGCCCCTTTCTCCTTTTGCTCCATCCTCTCCATCTTCTCCATCCTCACCTGGTATACCTGCTTCACCTTTTTGACCTTTCATGCCAAATCCTGTGTCACCCTACACATTAAAAGAAGACTATATTAGTTTGCTGGCCCATTGCTGGAGTGTTGCTTTTAATGTTGGGAAGTTGCTTATAATTGTAGAGAGTGTAGCTTCTAATGCTGTGAGTGTTGCCAGAGAGAGTTGCTTCTAATGCAGGGAACGTTGATTTTAAATAGGAAGTGGGCTTCTAATGCTGCAAGTGTTGCTTAAGTGTGCGTTCTAATGCTATGAGTATGGCCAGGGAGTGTGTTGCTTCTAATGCAAGGAATGTTGTTTATTGCAGGGAGTGTGCCTTCTATTGCTGAAAGTGTTGCCAGAGAGTGTTGCTTATAATACTGGGAGGGTTGATTATATGCAGGTAGTACTGCTTAATGTGGAGGGAGTGTTGCTTCTAATGCAGAGAGTGTTTCCTCTAATTCAAGGGTGTTGCCTTTAATACTGGAATGTTGCTACTAATAATGGGTAGTTGCTAAAATGTTGGGACATTGCTCCTTCATTTAAAACACTAAATATTGCCCAGTCGTTGTTGGACACACTTCTTTGCCTTTTGGTCTGGGCGAGATCTGTAATGGTGCAGGTATCCTCAACTACACTGCTTATATGTTGGGAGAATTGCTTCTAGTGCAGAGAGTATTGCTTGTGTTGCTACAAATGTTGGTATGTTGCTTTAAATGTTGAGATATATTTCTTCAGGTGTTGTGAGTGTTAATTATAAATTTGGAGAGTTGCTTCTCATGCTGGGAATATTGCTTCTAATGCTGAGAGTGTTACTACTAATGATGATGGGATGTGGCTTATAACATTTTGATTTTGCTTCTAATGCAGTGAGTATTGCTTCTAATGCTGGGGAATTGGTACTTTGGGATGTTGCTTTTAATGTAGAGACTTATTTCTTCTAGTGAAAGGAGTGTTAATCAGAATTCTGAAAGAGCTGCTTCTAATGCATGCATGCCAGGAATATAGCTTCTAATGTTAGGGTGTTCTTATGGGATGTTGCTGATGATGAAATGTTGCTTTCAATATAGAGAATGCTGCTTTTAATGTTGGAGTAATGCTTCTAATGATGGGACACTGCTTTTAATGCTAGGATACTAATACTCTGGGTGTTGTTGGAGGTGGAACTATGACACCTGTGAGTTAATTGTGGTTACCAAATCCACCAGGCAGTAACTCATCCTCTCTCAACTAAAAATACTACTGCCTGAATCTTACCTTTTGTCCTGGTTCACCCTTTTCTCCTTGAATTCCCTGAATTCCCTGCGGACCCGGCATCCCATGTTCACCCTAGAAAATATGACATTATGAAATAATTTAATCTTTTCGGTTTGTAGTACAAAGAGTTGTTTGTAATAAGCTAGCACAATATACCTGTATAGTTGTAAGAACTTGCTGCACCTAGTTCCCTGGCTTATGATTGACCAAAATTTGAATAGAGGGCGGTTTACAAATTTATTTCTAAACTATGTGATTGGTCATAACTTGCAGAAGTGGCGACAAGCTACATAACTTGTTTGTCAATGAACTATTCTCAAATTTTTATTTCAGAATCAAGATTGTCCATATTACAGTACATAATAATATAATGACAAAGGATAAAAAATGGAACAATTTAAAAACCTACCACCACTAAATAGCTTTAAAAAAATGTAGCTATCATATAGGTCTAGGAAACAATCAGTTAAGCGCGAAAATGTACCACAACTCAACAGTAAAGCACATTATTCCCTGTATGCCAGATTAATTATATTTAATGCCGTTAACAACTTTCATCAAAATGACGTTACAACACATTTTAATCATTTTTATTTTTGCCTGATAATTTGTTTCGTGGCGTAAATTTAATAGGAAAGCTTCAGTAATAAACAATGTCTCCACACTGCGTATTGCAGCTCTGAGTCGCGTTTCAAACGAGAGATACAGGTTGTTTTTGTGAATTCTGCCTATTTCACCTACATAACCAACAAATCACCATGTTCCATTTCTGTTATTCAATCTGCTTCACCAATTCTCCCCAGAGGGCACACTCTAAGAACAGGGCATCCAAACAGTATACATTTTAGTTATTTCAACCTGCATACTAATTTTCAAAACATATAAAACTGCTACTAAGGGGTTAAAAGGGCAAAAAAAAATGCAATGATTCAACAAAGTATACTTACTGGTATTCCTCCAGAGCCTTCCTGTCCTTGGTCCCCCTAAAAAAAATAAAGCAAACAAAAATTGTTTATATCAAATGATAGATTCTTCGATGATTGATTCTAAATGTGACCAATTACATATACACATAAATCACAGTTGTAGAGCTCTTTTAAAAATGTATTGTCCCTTAAAAATGAGAAAAAAATTATAAAAAATAACTTTGAAATTAACTTGCTAATTTTTCTGTGGTCCCAAATTAGCAAATGTCTTATTATTATTTTAATTAGAGACCACAGCTGCTAAAAACCATAAAAAAACAAAATCCCTGGTCCCAAAATTGGTCTTTAATTGGAGGGAGATATGTGACGACGACGACGACGACAACAATAATCATAAATTAAAATAATGATAATAATAATAATAATAATAATAATAATAATAATAATTTCACTAAATCAGACTTCAGGGGAATATTTTTTTTGTGTTATTTTCCCCTTAGGCAGGTTTTAGTAATAATAATTATAACACCAATAATAATAATAAGATATACAGTATATAGCGCCAAATTTATCAAAGCTTTAAAAGAATTGAGAACACAAGGCCTACTCTAGATGCATTAGGGTAATAAAAATATAAATGTTCTGGTTTTTATATGCGAAAAAAGTACAAATCCCTTTAAGTGCTGGTAAATCAAGATGGCCTGCTGGTAACTTTCATTGTGTTTAATCTAGGCTGAAGAAGTTATTTTCCCCTTAGGCAGGTTTCAGTAATAATAATAAAAATAACACCAATAATAACAATAAGATATACAGTATATAGCGCCAAATTTATCAAAGCTTTTAAAGAATTGAGAACACAAGGCCTACTCTAGATGCATTAGGGTAATAAAAATATAAATGTTCTGGTTTTTATGTGCGAAAAAAGTACAAATCCCGTTAAGTGCTGGTACATCAAGATGGCCTGCTGGTAACTTTCATTGTGTTTAATCTAGGCTGCAGATGTTTAAATGCTGGTTTTAGATTAGAATAGATAGAATAATATAGGTTCAGCATGATTCAATACAAGGTAAAGTGGAAACAGTTCAAAGACATTAAACTCAGCAGGCACACTACAGATGGAATAGAATTAACATACACAACAGTCACACTTGATTTAATTTGGTGTCTACTATTTGTTTTGAATTTATGCAATTTAGCCATTTCATGTAAACTCAGCAGGGCAAAATTTCCTTTTATATACTGTTTATCTAGAGATTAGTCATCAAAATTGGTTTTACAAGGTTAAAATTAAGATGCTAAAAAGGGACCTAATAAACAGATGGCTCAATTTAAGAATTTCATAATTTATGATTTCATAATAATGTTTATATTGAAGATAAAAAGGAGTTCTGATATTCGTAATACTAAATTCTTTAAAGTATTCTAAAGAACACTTGTATAATCCCAGAGAAAAGTGATGATGATAATGATCTAAACAATGATTGTGATAATTATGATAACAATGGTGATGATACTGGTGACAATGATATGATGATAAAAATAGTAATAATTTTAATAATATTAATAATAATTACAAAAAATAATAATAGATCTACTAATATAGTACATTCCATAAAAAGTTACTAAACCATGAAATGTTTTGTATTTGTGATGAATGTAATAGTGCTTGAAGTAGAAAGGGAAGTTTTCATGAGAAACAACATTATTGATATGTTACAGATATTCCCACCAGTAATTAAAAACAGTGTATATGGTGTATATTTTATTGCTAACAGTTGACACAGGTTCTAGCATTCGAAAACACTTGGAATAACTCAGTAATAAATTTAAAAAAAATCTACTTTCTTAATTGAATTTCCTTTCTATAGGCGGCAGTATTAATTTTCATTCCATGCGGGGATTTGAGATTATGAACTTAAGAGGATTTGTGGATGTTAACCATTGAAAGCAAAATTTAATTGTTTCTAAATCTACCATAATATTATCATGTTTGCAATTGTAGAACCATTTATGTAAATGAAACTAGATATAATACCATATAATTGAAACTAAATTTAATTGATTAATTTAACATTAGTATTAATCTTTCCACTATAGTTAGTTTATACTAATGTTGTTATCTTGATTTATAAATTATTTCATTTTATATTTACAATACATTATATTGAAAAGTTTACGAATTTGATATTTCATTCAGGAATTTCAAATGATACAGAAATATCTAATAAGATATTGTAAATTACAAAAATTTTATCAATTATTATAATATTTTAAGCATTAAAATTATGTAACCAAATGAGGGCATTTTAGTTCAGTTGGCAGATAACACCATTAAGCTGGTACAGAATCCCATAGCAGACCATGTTGTCTTCGACTTAGGTTGGATTCGGACGTAAACTCAATTACATGGGTAATCTACTAATAACCTCGGGGCTAAATGTGACGGTCGTTCGGACGAGTAAAATAACAATCCATTTACCCATTAATTTGACGGAAGTTACGTATTTTACAAGCTTCTGCAAGGTCAGAATTCTGAATAGTTCGTGGCCTGAGTGACGACTCCGTGTCAAATTAGCAATGCTTTCGCGGCAATTTCAATACTTCATACACGAATTTACGCTATTTCTGCTTACTTTTTATACAATTTACTCATTTCCTTGCGTTTATCCTTACAAATTGACGCCGAATTATGATTAACCCAGCCGACCTAACTATCCTGACAACTTTTATATGCTTCTCGACGACGGATTTGATCTAAACCAAGCTTTTCGACGAAGGAAGTACAGCAACGACGAAGACAACGACCAGCGTGGAAAGAATTAAAGCTTTGGCAACAACGCTAAGAATCACGCAGCGCGGTCGCGAGCTTCTTTTTGTCCAGTGCACTCTGACCCGGCGTTGTTTACAAATCTGAAGGGTCAACTTGTGACCTGGGCCTTGTTACGAGTGATTAATTACGCCTTGAGGCAAGGTGTAATTGAAATATCCAGTAAAAAAGGTGGGTTTTTGGGCAAGATGTTTTTCGAATTCTCTATACCCAGGGGCATTATTTAATTGCCGCACGCGACCGCTCAGCTGGTGGTACCCAGTTAAATTTTACTCGTCCGAATCGGCCCTTACTTACCAAGCAATCAATCATTTAATCAATCAATTAATCAAGCCATCAATCTATCAGTCCATCCCTTCATCAATCAATCTTATTAACACTCTGACGCCAAGGTGTTTGAAAAAATAGTATCAGCCACCGCTAGACTTTTTAGCATATTTTAAGACTTTTCTGAAACTTGTTGATAGTGTGTATGTGATCAGATTGATATGTAGTGAATACTACAATAACTAAAACATCTTTAATAGCTTTACATTGTTACTAAACACTTTATTCTAATCACAATCTGTGACCCGTAACAGTAAAATGAAAATGACACTTTTGGAGATTTACGCAATTTCACACAACGAAGCTGAGATAATCGCGATTTCGTGAAAGTAAAGCAATACTGCTCTACGCTAATGTAAACAAACAGATATTGAAATATCTACGGTCCAGACTGAATATAGTGTTCAAATTGTTAGTACATGTCGGTAATTACCCCATCTAACAGATTCCGTAAAAAAAACCTGAAACACGGAGATCTCCATGTTTGGCGGTCAAGATTTGCGTTACCAAACACAGAATTCTCTGTGTTTGGCATGCAGAGTGTTAATCAACTTTATTATGCTATAAGTTCGGTCTAATTGTGTATTGTATTGTATTTATCACTGATATAATAATTATGCTATAGGGATTACTGTACCAGTAAGGTCTTAGCATTTCATGCAAAATAAGATGGAAATAAATTTATAAAATATTATTATTATTATGATTCATAAATTTTATTTGATGATTTTATGTACTGCAATGCGCCTATGAGCTAATGTTTTGTGTATATACGGTGAAATACAAATGCTTTTATTAAATTATTATATTATCATTATTATTATTATTATTATTGTTACTGTTAATATTAATAATGGTCACTGATATTATAATTATGCTATAGGTACTATTACAGTACTGAACCCATAATAGTAATGATGTAACAGATGAGATCCAAAGTACACTGTACTTTCTATTTTGTTATTTTGTAGGTAATAATCGTCCAAAATCATTAGCTCTAGATAGATGGACCACCCACCTCAAAATGAAGCACCTGTGCTTTTGAAGTACCTAACTTATATGTGTAAAGTAACAAATTAAGACCAACAGATAATGGCTAGTGCAATACCACTTCAGAGTTGGAAATTTGAGTAGTACAGGCTTAAAAAAACAGCTGCAAAAGAAAGTGATATACAGATTCAGGAAATAAACAAATTCTTATGAAATCATCCATTTTCTAAGTGTGTATATATATATATATGTATATGTTTATATGTATACTCTATGTATATGTATATATAAATAAAATCATGCTACAAAAAAAACTGTATACTTATCATTATTATTATTTTAATATTTTATTTATCATATTGACCTTGTAATTAATTTACTTTATAGAAGAATAACATATGTTTTCATTGTGTGAAAAAATAAACTTGAAACATGGTAAGAGAGGGGGTTAACAATGTATGTACTCTGTTATAAACATTTAAAAAAAAATAAAAAAAATGCTCTTTTAGGAGATGGGAGCAACATAAAAAAAGCTATGTTTTCCACTCTCCTCAAAATTATGAAAAAAAATGGATGATCCCTAAGTTGAATAATATATTTCTTCCTTTATCATCTTAGTCGTCATGGAGAAAAATCTCTTACTTAGGTCTCCTGGATATGTGTAAGATTAAATAATATTATTAATATTATTATTATATTATATTATTATTACTCTATACTTATATTTATCATTATATTAAAATTCATTACATTAATAACACAATTCATAATATTAAAATATATTCATTTCATTTATTTTATGTACATTGCAATTATGATTGTCATTACTCATCTTGTTTCATTTACTTCTTTATTTTAATGATTGCAATAAAGATATCATATATTATATTATTATAAAGATTATTTAGCACAATTCTTACTATTATTGTCAATATGATGAGTACCTAATCATCTGCGGCAGGGAAAATGTGAAACCTGCTCCTTTGTTTGCGCCACCTAGGTAGGGGACTGGAATTGCACCAGGGCAGAGGCGGATGGTTGACCCTTTGAGACTTGGCGCTATTTGCCACCACACCTTATTATACTGTTAAGTCATCGTGCCTTTTGTTTTATAATTTTATGTAAAGCGCATAGGGGCACTGTGCAATATGCACTATATAAATGTAAATTATTATTACTATTATTATTATTATTATTATTATTATTAGCTGTTAAGCAAAAATTTTGTAAACTTCACAGTTACAAACTTCTTAACTTACCAACATTAATTCATACTTGACAAAGGAATCTTCTATACAGTTAGATAATTCTATTATATAATTATTTGTATTATCATTATTAGTAGAATTAATATATTCTTATTCTTATTATTACCACGATTATTCTTTTATGGACATAGTCGCCCAGCTACTTACTTTGTCACCTTTCGGTCCCCGTACTTGTTCAGGATCAAACGTGGGGACAACACCGGGAGGACCTTGTACACCAATACCAGCATCTCCCTGTGTGTTTAAAAGGAAGAACAATTTTATGTCAGAAAAAGAACAATGTATTTAAAACATCTGATTTTTATTATCATTTGGAAAAACCACACTTAATTCTTCATTGTAAGTTATATTTTCATTTTATTTTGTTTTGTATGAAATTTAAGTTTTTGTTATCGGACCCACAGGAAGAACATTGATTGGGTATCGAGAAAAAAGAAAAATTCCTAACTTAATCTAACTAACACATTTATGTTTTTTTTTAGAGAGAGCAGCTTAGCTCAGTTGGCTAATCTGGTGGTAGCCACTGTGTGTGCACTGAACCGTGAAGATCTCTAGGTCACCAGTTCAATTCCATTGCTACCTCTCCTTGTGTTTCAGCTGGAGGTCCGAAATACAAGTTACAATAGCGCACCGTCTTTCGGATGAGACGTTTAAAGCCGTTGGTCCCGTATGCAATTATAGCCCATGTGCATGTTAAAGAACACAATACACTCTTCGGAAAAGAGTAGGGGATTGTCTCCCAGTGTACTGCCCAATCACCACTAGAAGGACCCCACTGGTCGGAAATAAGTCTTCTTTTAGACTTTCATGGGCTATCCTTTGTGTTTACACCGAATAAATTCAACCAATTAGTCAGTGTCCTGTATGTGCCAGAACAATTTTAAGCTACAAAGATCCAAGTTAAAGAATAACACAATACAGCTGATTTTATTATAAGAAAATGAAAAATGCATGGAATTTGGCTTTGGCAATCTATATATTAGTATAAAGAGGCGTTGTTCCAGGAGAAAATATTCACAAGATTTGAGATCCAACAGGTGAAGAGATGATTTGCTACTCTGTTTCAGCAATTTCTGAAAGGCACCTGCTGATTTTTGTTCTAAGCTTCTGACAAGAGCTCAAGTTCAACACATCATCCAAGATTATCTTATTTCACTCCAATTATCTATTCATTTCTTCATCTGTCACAAAATTCAGTATTTTCCTGTCAAACAGCAATTTCCTTATTATATAATAATAGTAAAAGTAATAAAAATTTTAATCAATAGTTTAATCTCATTAATAATATCATCAATCAATTATTAATATAATCATTTTTGGATTATTGATTAATATTATTACTTTATTTTATTAATAATAATACCGTATAAATATTATTATTTTATCAAATTATGAAAATTTATCTATATTAAATTATTAACATATAATAAAAAACCTTTTAAAAACAGATGTTTTAAATGAAAGACTTCAGTGATGTTGATTTTTCCCATTTTACTTGCCAAATTCAGGCATCTAGTAATATTTTGCTTCTGGATTTAATAATGTACTTTCTTCTTTTGTTCTATTTCTAACAAATTATTTTTTATATATATATACCGGTTCATATATATATTTTCATTGAATTGTGATTTATATTTAACAAAGCCAGAATGCAGTATGGCACTCCAAAAATACCTTAGATGGAAAGACTAATCCAAATTAACTTGTACATCATCATCATGTACAAATAAACCATCTGCCTGCTGGCTATAAATAACAGTGAGATTTGTTTACAGAGTAATCAAGCATTTGATGTAACATTGCAGGGTATGATGAAAGACTTCTTGCAGATTTTACTAAGAGTAGATATCCAAAAACCAAGACTATCAAATTTTATTTGACAAAAGCATGTGAATGCCTAATATAGTCATAATGACGTGCATGGGCGGATCCAGGATTTCAAAGAGGGGGTTCAGAAAGTTCCCAAAAAACTAAAAAAGAAAGGGGGTTCGGCCCCCGGGATAATTTTGATTCCTAGACGGCCGGAAATTAGCTTTCCCGACTTCTGAGGTGTCTTTTAATGACCTTTTTAAGTTCTTCAAAATTCAAGGTTTTCCCTCTCTTGAAAAAGGTCAGGCAATCTTATCTCATTCTTAGGCCTACATAGAGAAAAAAAAAAGACATATGCAATACAGACCTGTTAACCCGTACGCATTCACCGTAAGTCTTAAGTATTCCAATCAAATCTTACGGTCTTATGCAAACACCGACAAAACATACGCTTATCCTAAAACTTGAGTAAATTTTGTTTCTTTTTCAATTTGTAATGAATTTTACTATAACTAACATCTATAATCATATAACATTCTACATTCATGTTTCAATAACTATTGTATCTGAGATCATTATGAACTCACTAATATCGATTAGATATGCCATTTAAGCCAAAGCGACGCCGACCGGAAGGCCTTGGCGACCCCCTGGCCCCCCAGCCACGGTTCGTGCATTCGGCACTCATGATCTGTCACCCGATATTACTCTTTGAAATTTCTCAAGGTTGACAGGTATGCCAATATATTATTATATTCCAACAATATTGAGTAGTAGTTGGATACGTAGTCTTTCCTCCATGGATCGATAGGCCTGAAAAACGCACTTTTGTATATAAATTATTACGACATTGAACCAAAAACAGTGTTGTTAAATTTATTTGATTGAAGGCTAGTTGAGCTATTAGCCTAATTTGTCTACCAACCTATGTCTAGGTAGGTTAGCATGCCTTTTGTAAGCCAGGACCCATTAGTATTTTGTTACGTTTCTTCACAGAGGGGGGTTCATCTGAACCCCTTGATCCCCCTGGATCTGCCACTCACATCAGGACCATGTATAGGTATACATCATGACCATATATTGGTATACAACAGTATTTTTATCAGATAAAATTTGTTAGCCTGGACAGGGCCTTTAAAGGATACACATTGACTGTTTAACCTGTACATATGGTATGTCAATCAGGGAGATAAGCTACACTTTGGGAAATGTATAGCATGTCTAAATCGACTGAGCAAATATAAAAGATGACCACTATTTTAATAGTAGAATTGTTTTCCAAAGTTGGATGCAAGGGAGGCCTAGCTGACCACCAAACAGCCCAAAGTTTTGAAAATAAAAGAAGGGGAAAACTGCATTAAAATTTTGAGTGCCATTTCCAGCCATCTAGTAGTAGTGGTGCCATAGGCATAGTTTTGTACCTCAGCCCCAACAATGGTGCTGCTGAGGTGGTCTGGACTATGTAAAAAATTCCCTTCTTTCTCTCTATTTCAAATTTCTGGATCCGCCAACGTCTTCTTATAATTGGTGATCCGCTACACTAGCGGATCACCTATTGTTATTGTACAGAATCATCTTTTTTTTTTTATTCTTCTTTCTTTCTCCCCTTTTCGGTTCGCACGATATCTCAAAAAATGCCACGAGTTACGCACAATCGCTGTCAGCGAACATTTGGCTTGAACTGGAATAGACATGGTAAGCTTTTTAACGCGCTCAGTCATGCGTGACGTCATCTACGCGCGATTTTGCGTTTTTACATTATCGATCATATCAGCCTAACTTCGGGTTAATGTTGAATGTACTGTACCCTAATTTTACGCGTGCGCATCATAGCGCGCGCGCAAGCGTGCGTCAAAATTTCTAAATGCTCGAAATTACTTTTTAACTACATTAGAGCACGTTTCAGGCCATTTTGAGCATTTCAATTTTCCACTACGCGCGGGCATTTTTACGCGCGCAGCACGTACGAAAGCTAGACACTATGTTTTTTCATATAATTTGGGTTCCTGACATTGTTTTCACAAACTTCCATTCTTTTCGGTCATCTTTTGGCCAATAGCAATACCGTACGTGCGCATCAAACATAGGTATCTTTGCGCGTATTTGTGCCGCTATACAGTGAAATTATGCTAAAATCAGGCCTATATTTAATCAGTTATAGCTCCTTAGGTTGAAAGGTGACCCCCCATTTTCATTACATATTCTGAAAGCACATAAGTGGTAAATATGATTTTATAGATCATAATGGCTGATCGGACATTGTGACGTCATCATATTGGCATCTGAATTCAAAGAAAGTGATTTATAGCTATGACGTCATTTTTGAAAATGCGCATTTGAGCGTATCTCGGTTATCCTTGATCGATCGTCTTCCAACTTTCAGTATGTTATAGCTGAGACAATTCTCTTTCATATATTTGACTTCTTTTTACATTTTAATGACGTCATCATGGTCAAAAAAATTGTTATTTCTGACCCCCACATCTTTCTTTCATCTAAAAGTTGATGAGCCCATATCATCTTAACTATTCATCATTTCTGAATCATATTTAAGTGAGCATAATCTTCATGTCAAGGTTGAATGTCAGGTACCTTAATTTTCCGTTTGCGCGACTTAACGTGCGCGTACGCGTGAGTCAACATTTATATATACATAAAACCATGAATTATTTATTCAGTTATAGCTCCTTAGGATGAAAGGTGACCCCCAATTTTTATTACATAATCTGAAAGCACATGAGTTGTAGATACGATTTTTTACTTCATAATGGCTGATCGGACATTGTGACGTCATCATATTGCCATTTGAATTAAAAAACTGAATTTTTATTTATGATGCCATTATGTTTATACTTGTTTGAATGTATGTCGCTTTTTCTTGATTGATTGTCTCCCACCTGTGAGTATGTTATAGCTAGATCAATTCACTTTCGGACGTGTCCCTTTATTTTTTATTTTGATGTCGTCATCATGGTCAAAAAGAATGCTTTTTTTGGAGCCTTCTCATCTTTCTTTCTGAAAAGATGTAAACACATTGAAAATAGAGGGCGGCAGACTGTATTTCAACACTATCAGACCGATAGTTCGTATACTGTAAAGTGCAAAATTCGTGTGGCATTACCAACCAACAGGGGGTTTTAAATTAAACTTGACAAGGTTTAATTTCGTGTGCTATTACTGTACACGCACACATGGTAACGTGCGTGTCTGTTAACATTAGAAAATTCTCCATATTACTATTCAGATAGTTTAAAGAACGTTTCGGGTCATTTTCAGCATTTCAAAACTTTCCATAATTTACCCGCCGTACGTTCATTTCCACGCACACAGCACATATTAAAGCTGGAAATCACGTTTCGTTACATACTTTGTGTTCCTGACACATTATTCATATCAGGAGTCACTCTTTGTGCTATTACCGTGCTCACGGGCGTCAAGACGTACGTGTACACATGCGGAAATCTTTTAAAATACTCAAAATTATTCTGTTTAAAAAAAAAATAATTACAGCATATTTTAGCATATTATGACACTTTTCAATAAGCACCGCGTGATCCTAATGAGGGTCAAAGTGCGGCGGATCACCTAACTCGTCCTCAGTGACGAGTTCAAATCTAGTTTTTATTATATTTGTACCACTGGTACACAGTAGCAAGTGCTCAGGCTTCCCAACAATAGGTTGAGTTCAGTATAACTGTTAACTGTGCATTTCCTATCCCAAAAGATTATAGAAATACATCATAGTTCTGTGTTTGATTTGGAGGGGGAGGGGGGAAGGGGAACCAGCACAATAAAGCTATTTTCTATACAATAAATGTTGTACCCATTCATAGGCTTAGCCAGCGAGTCACCGTGACAGCTTGGCCTAATCAGCTCGGTCTAACCCAATTGGGCCTGGTCTACCTTTAGCAATGGTGTCCCACACTTATCAGCACATGCAGGAAAAAACATCCCGCCTAACTGACTAATTTGCACACCAAATTTGCCTGAAGATTAATCACAAGAAAACAGAAGTAATGACACTTAATGTTCAAAACCCACCAAGCATAGGGGCACATGGAGAAGATCTTCCAACAACAGATGAATTCACCTACCTTGGAAGTATTGTAACACAAGATGGAGGTGCAGGGCTTAAACAAATCAAGGACTGCATTCTCTATGCTAAATCCTATATGGAAATCACAACAGTTCAGCACCAAAACCAAGTTGAAGATTTATCAAAGCTGTGTCCTTTCAACTCTTTTGTATGGGTCAGAATGCTGGAGGATGATAAATAATGACCTCCAAAAAATATCAGTCTTCCACAATAAATCCTTGAGGAAAATTGGTCGCGTATTTTGGCCAAATACCATATCAAATGAAGAACTTTATGACAGATGCCAATTGGAATGCATGGAAACAATCATACAAAGAAGGCGTTGGAGATGGATTGGACATGTGCTAAGGAAAGAACAGGGAAGCATTACCAAAACGGCACTCTACTGGACTCCAGAAGGGAAGAGGAAGAGGGGGAGACCCAAGAACACTTGGAGAAGGACGGTGGAAAGAGAAATGAGGGATCTGAATCACACCTGGGGAATGCTAAAGCGCCTGGCCTTGGACAGAGCAGAGTGGAGGACTTTTGTTGCTGCCCTACGTGCCTACTCGGCATAATGGGCAGTAAGTACCTTTAGCAAATTCTTTATATTCTTCAAATCTATCGAATGTTACATTAAATTAAAGATAAATCATATTTACGTTTGACAACATTTTTGACTGAAAGTACAGTACGTTGTTTTCGCACCAATATTCGGTGGGGTTTCCCAAATATAGGCGTGGCCCCCTATCGGGTCAGTGCAATGCCCAAAGGCTTCCATTTTGGATGGCCAAACCCCTGTATCCACTACTCTTTAAATTGATTAGGTGTGGTTGAGCTATGAGAAGATATCATTAAAAAAAAATTATAGTAACAATATAAACTACTAGAAACATTAGTATTTTGTAATTAAAAAAATAATGTTCCAAAAATGCAGGAATATATACATTTATTTATTTATTTATTCATATATTTCATTTATCTTTATATTATAGTAAAATATTATATTTAACTTTTAACTACTAGAATCATTAATATTTTGTGTGATTAAAAATAACAAATGTCCAAAAATGCAGAAATATATTTATATACATTTGTTTATATATTTTTATTCATTTATATTTGTTAGGGCTTTCCTTAAATAGAAATGAATAATACATTTATTTAAATATTTTTATTCATTTCTATTTGTTAGCACTTCCCTTAACAAATAGAAATGAATAAAAATATATAAATAAATGTATATAAATATATACAAAAATATATATAAAAATGCAGAAATATATTTATATACATTTGTTTATATATTTTTATTCATTTATATTTGTTAGGGCTTTCCTTAAATAGAAATGAATAATACATTTATTTAAATATTTTTATTCATTTCTATTTGTTAGCACTTCCCTTAACAAATAGAAATGAATAAAAATATATAAATAAATGTATATAAATATATACATGTATACAAATAATTATTCCTGATGATGACATAATTAATGTCGAAATATTGAATCCCAACACGATGGCGTGTATTTCTATACAAATAAATGTATATAAATGTATATTTATATACATTTATATATTTTTATTCATTTCTATTTGTTAAGGGAAGCCCTAACAGCAGTGCTGAATAAATACATCTGTTAGATACACATACACAATTTTGTTCTGTTTCTTGGAAGGAACTTTAGTATAATTAATAATTTCCTTCATCCCTTATAAACTTGTCAACAGAAAGTCAATACAAAAACTGCATGCACGTCTACAAGAAAAATCAGTTAGCCAATTTCCTTATGCAACGGAAAACCTTACGCATTGACGGCTGAGATCACATTCTCGCACTCTTAACGTATCATCTAATGATTACTTGGCTTTTTAACTGAATAAACCACAGAAGTCGGAACGTGACCGCTACTTGTTGCGTACCACCATGATACTGTAACATCATATAAACTGATTTACTTTTATTTTTATATTATCAACTTCTTTAGAGGCAGATCAAAGATTTTTTTGAAAAAGTCATACAGAAGTAAGGGGCTTCAATTAATTATTATCTATAATTATTATCATTCATTAGTTGACTTGATAATTAATTAATTAAAATCTACTTAATATTAATGAAATTGCTATTTTGGTAATAAAGTGCCCCTCCCCTCAAATTAAGGTAGGCACCTACACCTTCTTATTCAACTAATAAGAAAGTTTGCGATGATAAAAAGCCCCATATTTGGGGAAATTGTTTAAGTCTTTTATGCCGAAGGTGACCAGTCTTCCTCATAAATTTCCAAATATTGCAGTTAATTGATTATGACAGTGTGTCTACTTAATCAATTACGAAGATACTGTTATGAAGTTTTGATGACAGAAAAGGCACAGCTTTTGTGGTAATTTGTCAAACTAATTACACTCCAATTAAAAGGCGTTTCTACTAATAACAGTGGTGAAAATTTATTGCGCACCAGTATCCATCGGTAAAGATGCCCATGGTGCATTAGTACAACAATGCACTTCAAAGCTAAAACTAAACTTAACTCTGTTCATACTTTTATTATTTACATCAATGAGGAATTCATGTTAATTTAAAAGTAGCAGGAAAACGAATAGAGACATTGGCCTCCGATAATAAAACAGAGTCACTGACTGTTATAAATTTTTTATTAAAGGAAGAGCATAGTAATTTGGTGAAAGTACAAAACACTATGTACTGTAAGTAGACAGGAATTCACACTTCTTTATAAAAGATATGTAAAAATTAAGTGTTTAAATATATTAAACTGTCCCTTTAATGATGGCCAATAACTCAATTACTCAAAAAAAATATATTAACTGCTAAAGGAAGAACATTTTCCTGATGATGGTCAGAGAAATCTCACTGTAACATCAAGACAACCAACCAACCAGTTGTTTTACCTCATAAACCATATTTTTACACATAGTGTACCAAAAGTTTTATGATTTTGTGAAGGAAGAAAGCACAATATTTGGGTGTATGTTTATATCTATACCCTTACCCTTTAAATGAAGGCTCATTCATTACTGAAGGGATATTATAAATGAAGGCTCATTCATTACTGAAGGGATATTATAAATGAAGGCTCATTCATTACTGAAGGGATATTATAATGACGAAAGTAAAACTGTGGTCAGTTTTTCTTCGGAAATCATATTCATTATCTATATTGTTATCATTTAACACTCGCCTTACTAAAACATTTCCTTTTCCTGAAGGTTTAAAAAAGAATGGGGTACAAAAGGTTGAATAAATAACAAGATATACTACCTATCTTATCAAAACATATCCATAAAATTTAGAAAAGGAAGTGGACACTAAATAAAGTTGAAATCCAAGCTCGGGATTGTCATCAAGTGAAAAGAGTATTTAAAAGTCATACGAGTCTGAATTTCTGCCAGTGGCGAATTGAAGGGGGCTTAGCCGGCCAACGCACCCACCTCCCCCTAAATATTTCAAAATGGGGAAAAAAGAAAATTGTATTCTAATTTATATCAGAGTGCTACTTCCGGCCACCTAGATGTACTCTATAACTGTGAAAGTCCCTCCTTGCCTGGCGCTTCCTCACCCCTATTTCGAATTCCTGGATCTGTACCTGATTACTGCACTTTTACATAAAATTTTGAAATTTAGAGCTTCTAGAAGTAAAGCTGCTCAATAATCAAATTAAAAATACCTTCTCTCCTTTAGGTCCCTGTGGCCCTTGGTCTCCAACATCTCCCTTCTCGCCCTTGTCACCTGGCGGGCCTGCAACACCTGGTAGACCTTCTTCACCTTCTGGTCCCTCAATACCTATTTCACCAGGATCACCTTGAAATAATTAAGTCATAGATTAGAATAGGATACTTTGAAAAAGTCATTATAAACGAATATGTAATACAAGAAACCGAGTAAAAATTTAGCAGAATAAAAAAAAAGAAATTATTACTTACTCTTGTTGATTACATTTACTTAAATTCCCTAAAATCACGAAATATTTAAATATTTTAATTATTTTTTTCATTCCTTTTACTACGCTGCAAAAAGTGTGCAACAACAAGACCGGCGGTTGAAGGATTTGTGGATATCACCGTGGGATTAATCAAGAAAATTTTCATGGTCAGCCAAAGCACAAAAATATTTTACCCAGACCTGTTTTTTACATCCAGTTGCAAGTTTAAATCTTAAAAAATGAAAAAAATGCTTTCTAAAACTAAGTCTCATTTTTAGGGTAGCTAGGAGAGTGGAGTTGTTTTTCGTTGAGAGGGGAAAACCCTGTACAGGCTTCTTTCAGAAGTCGGATCCAAAAACCTATGGCGGGAAGGCAAACCACCTACTACAGCTTCATACAGTCAAAATCTCCTCTGCAAAAACGCGCAACAACTTATATTCCATATCAACTTCATACACCGAACATATTGATTATTCTTTTCTGAAGTATTCCATTATTCATAGAATGTTAAATGAATATTATTGTTAATAAGAACAAAGAATATTAAGAACCACTTCTAAAAATACATTAAAGCAAATGCTTGTAATAATGTTTGAGCAGCACAAATAGATGGCCATCCCATTTTTCTGTTGACTAGCATATGCATTAATATATTTTTATGACATACAATAATATTTATGATACACATGTACATATTCCTTAATAATTAGATGCAAGATCACAAGTAAAACAAATTACTGTTAGATTTGTTGGTTAAAATATTGAAATCGAACCCATAATGTTAAGCTTTAAAACACCATTCTGAACCACAAATAATCGATCTTTGATGTAATAAAAAAATATAAAAATGTATAATAAAAACATTTAAATGAAATTCCTTTGATGAATTTTCAAAAACATTGTTAGTTTATTGTGCTTTCCATAGACCATGGGAAAGATGTTGTCAGCAAAATGAGGTTAATGAATTGGGTGAAGATGATAAACAACAGAGCTGCATGTATTAGGAGACACCGATGTACGCTTTAATGAGCATTTCCTATGTCATGTACGCCAAGTGTACAATACAGTACCAACATAGCCAACATGTCTGTTCAAGCATTAGCGATAGTGAATCTCACCAATGTGAAGTATTAATTGAAATACATATACCGTAATATGTTTATCTTGGAATTAACATTGCTGTAAGATCAGTGGAATATCTAGGAGAGGGCGATGCGGGCGCATGCCCACCCCTAAAAAAGCTCACACCTCCAGTCGCCCCATTGAATAAGTTTGAAGCAAAAAATATCGCTGAATTCGATAAAAATTACCCCATCACTTTATTTGCAAGCTAGCTCCCTTCACTTACATCATTGAGCCCCCACACCCAATTTCACCTTCATGCCCCATCAGCCCCCAAATTTTAAGAATCCTAGATATGCCACTGTGAGATACTTCAAATTAATCTGCTTACTTAAAATAAACGTTTATTAAGGTAGTGACTAATCTTAAAATAATCTCCAACATAAGCATACACACTTTATCTGGAATATGTCTTGTACTACATCCTCATTACGCATTTTTAATTTTATCTTCACCCTCAATCTTACTGTAATACTCATACACCCATCTCTTTACTTGCCTTCCTACTTATACTTCATTCCCTCACTTACACATCCATATTTATCTTTATAATTAGGCTAATCCTTCAGTGGTATAATCATCTTAATATTTGCGCTCATCTTTATAATTAGGCTAATTCTACAAAAATATTCATCTCTTGTTATATTTTCCTTACAAGAATATGATAGGAGGTGGTGGCTGAGCCATCTACTGTAGCCCTGAAATTTGCCACCCAGTCTAAAGCTAATTTCATGGCCTTCCACACACCCACCATTTAAAATGTCTGCCTCACACGCCCCCCCCCCCCAACCCTTAGTTTTCTCTAGCTACAATAATCCTGTCCTTACTCATACCTGTGCATATACCCATCTTTATCATTTATGCTAATCCTACAGAAATGTCCTACTCATACTCATTTTAATCCTCATACTTATATCTATGGTAACTTATTTGACCTTTATACTAATTCCCATCCTCATGTATTTTTACTTTATTTTGTCTTAATTATTATACTAATCTTCATTCTACCACTCTTCAAATTAACAAGGCTCATCACGCTCATCATGATAATTTTATTGTTTATACTTTTGTTTTTAAATCTTTTTCGTTGTTGTTAAGCGCTTAGAGACAGTCCTTGCATTATGTGCTATAAAAAAGCAGTTTTATCATTATTATTAATATCCCAGTCTTCATTGTATTTGCATGACCACTGTTAAGTTATCCTAGCCTAAAATAATTGAATACATATAAAAAAAATAATTTAATATGGATATTATTATATTCTAAAATTTATGCATCAAATGATCATTTTGTATCTACTGATACCACAATATTTTAAAAAAAAATCATATTAAACAAAAAAATAAAATATTATTGACGGTCTATACTGAATTGTGTTCCTGTACTATTTTTGCTATCTGATACCATGAATGCCATCACAAGAACTCAACACCTGTTCCTTAGGCCACTTTACCAGGTCAAGTAAGCATGTGCCACCTGGGTTAAGCACTTAGCTTTCTCCCTGGAAATTGCAATTAATCTCAGCTTAACAATCCTAAAGCTATTTAAGGCATGAACTAATGTCTTAGCAAAATACTAAATAAAGAATGGGCAGATCAACTAAGACAGAATGGCTAATACCAATTTTGATAAGTTGACAGATCACAATGACATGGAATGCAAATGAACAGCTTGCTGATCATAACATGATCACTGTCTCTTATACACATCTAGATGTGTATAAGAGACAGTTATAAAAGAATACATTACAAAAAAAAATATATGAATAATATATTGTTATATATGATAAATGTTATATTTTTTACTATTATCTATTTACAAATTTATAAGTCTGGTCTAACAGACCTAAGAGCCGAGTATTTCAACTAACATTATTGTTAGTCCAAGCCAACTTAGGTAATTTAATTGTCTTTATTGTTTTGATCACATGTTTTGTATATATCTTTTGGCTGAATAAAGAATGAATTAATTAATTAATTAAACATTATTTTATTAAGAATTATCTATTCTAATGTCGGTATTTTTATGTAAAAATTTGATGATGATGATGATGATGGAATTAATTTTAATATTAAATGCAAACTTGAACTGTTGTTACATGATTTAAAGATAGTGAGTAAACACCAAAACAAAAATAAAGGATTTGACAGAAAATGAAATATAGATAAAAATCAATGATCTGTAAAAATGAGTTGGAAAAAATGTTTTGCTTTTAATTTTTAAATTTGAAGAGAGACATAGAAGATAAGCATCAAAGGCCATGTCCAGCAGAACATATATATAATATTTCAACTAGTTATTTTTGATACAATGTTTTATGAAGCAGAACAGGAAAGTTTTGGTTCACTAAAGGTCAGAAAGAAACATGTGAAGTCTATGGAGAAATCATGTGCAGAGTTAAATAATTAATACCACAGTTAATCTTCCCTTCAATGTAATGACTAACCAGGGGTTTAGCCAGAAAAACGAAATAGGTCGTCCAAAATGGAAGCCAGTGGCATGGCACTGAGCCGATGGGCGGGCCACACCCATCTTTGGGAATCCCCACCGAATATTGGTACGAAGACAACGTACATTCAATAAATGTTTTTATCAAATGTAAATATGATTTAGCTTTAGTTTAATGTAACATTCGACAGATTTGAAGAATATAAAGAATTTGCTAAAGGCAGACCAGGCCCAATTAGGCTAGGGCGAGCTGATTAGGCCAAGCTGTCCAAGCTGTCACGGTAAAAGTGGCCGTCTTAAATAATTGTAGGCCAATAGACGGCCAGACAGCTCGCTGGCTAACAGATAAGTCAAAAAATGAAATAATTTCTTGTCACCTCCCACTTCCTTTTTTTACTTCCACCTATTAAATGTTTCTTTTATTTTTTGATTTATATATTTTTAGCTATATATTATGTATATATATTTATATATACATATTTATATATATTTATAGATATTAGTACTACAGCATAACAAGTTGTAAAAAAAGCTGATGGGCACAATATTTGTTTGGGGGGAAGTGTTAAGGCAGACCTTCCTTTATCCAAAAAGTTGAGAACGAGAATCTAATTTTTTAAAGGCCTAACTGGCACAGTGTGTGAGATGCGAGACACAGAGCCCAATCACACTTAATAGTTACATTGGCTTAGGGCCACCTTTGTTCAAGTGTGAACAATCAACAAATTTTAAGCCGACCTAGAGACGACCTAAATTTAGTCCGACTCATCTTCATATCCGAAAGTAAACCGAACCTGGGTCACTAAGGTCTGACCCAGCAGTCTATCTGATAGCAGTCTATTTTGACACGTTATACCATAACATATCATGCAAAAACCTGGCGCAAAGAGGAAGTATGACATTTGCAGTGCAACCCTGAATTGACTTAAAATACTAACCGCAAAATTTTGAGTCGGCTGTAGTTACGCCGGCCCTGGACCGACATAGTAAAGTGTGATTGCGCTCATAGATGGTGATACAAATTTGAGTATTATTTAAGAATATGAGGTTGGTAAATGGTCCCTTTGTGACATTTAGGCTGATAAATTTTTTCTGGTTAAGAATATTAACTTGCTTGAAATGTTATACATCTACTAAATAACCCTAGATTAAATTGATTTTCGATCAGTCAATGAAACAGAAAAAATGGGTGATGGTAAAACTGACAAGGGAAATTGTGCATGAATTATAAAGATTATATAGGGGTTGATAAATGGTCCTCTAGTGTAATATAACATCACGATGGATTTTGTTTGGTTTTGGATATCATTTTTTTTATTGGAATAATAAATAATTTAATGGATTTTCAATTAGCCAATGAAATGGAGGAAATGAGTGAGTAATCAATTCAAATGATCTTGCCACCTGGTGTTGAGAGATTTACTTTTATAATTTGAATGCTCTTAGCTTGAATTCACATTTTACAAACAAAATAAAAAATATGTCAATTTGCAACAAAAAAAAACAAAACACAAAAACATGTGACCCTGAATTTTCAAAATCTAAGGGTGTCACTTTCTTTTTTTTTTTTCTAAAGATGTATTTTTAAAGTTTTCACTAAGTTTTTCATTAAAAATTAAGTTCAATGTTTGCATTGCTTAAGGCCAACTCAGACAGCGTCGGCCGACACAGCCCGACCCGATTTATCGTCAGGGACAGTCTTAAGCCGTCGTGAGAAATATTAAACACGTTTAATATTCTACTACGCGACTGCCCCCGACGCACACCATCGCGTCTGCGTTCAACTCACACAGACCCGACGGGACAACAAATCGCGTCGGGCTGCATCGGCCGACGCTGTCTGAGTTGGCCTTTAGGCCTACATTTTGTATTTTAATATGTTACTGGCTTTCAATTGAAAATTGGAATGAGGGAAAATAAATTACATTAACACATGTTTCAATAATATAGTTCCTTTAACCTTTTGCAATACCCTGCATTTAGTTTGTAATCTATTTAAGAAATTCTATAGTAAACCATCTGTATAAACTGTGAAAAACAAAATATTTTGATCTGTATTCTTTGAAAGTTACTAAATTATTTTATTTAATATTTTAAAGGAATTTATTTCTTTTATATTGCATTGTTAAGGTTTTTTATTTCTCTTACATTTTGTATTTCAGTATGTTACACTTTTCCTTTAAAAGAACCAGTAACATTTTGCCCAGTCTCAGTGTTCTTAATTTTTTTTGCAGAGTTCAGGCTTAAAATGTTCTTATTTTGTTCTTATTTATACACACTTTTCAAACATAGAAAAACTTTTATTGTACAGCACTATTGTATTAAAGAGGGACCTACTGCAAATAAAGTACAGATAGGAGTTGTTGGTAAATTTTTCTATTTTTTTTCCAAATAAAACCTCATTTGACATTCTTAATTTTTAAGCAATTTCAGCCTCATTGTTTTTCCAAAATGTGTTCTTATAAAAATGGTATTGGATTAAAATTGAAAACTGGAATGAGAAAAAAATTTACATTAACAGATGAATGAATAACATAGTTCCTATAATACTTTGCAACATACCCTAAAATTAGTTGCTACTCTGTTTAAGAAATTTGTAATAAAACATCTGTACAACCGAGAAAATATTTGATCTGTATTTCACTGAAAGTTACTAAATTTATTTTTTTTTCTATTGAATTAAGGATTTTTATAGTCAGAGGTATATCATTAAGAATGGATTGTATCTATCGGTTATATTTTAACCAGCCAGAGAACATGGCAGTGGCGAATCCACAAATTTAAAATACTGTAGAAGGGGAGCAGGAGGGAATTTTACAGATAGAGTGATTGGACTACCTCAGTCTATGGCACCTTTAGATGGCCTGAAATGGCACTACACTACAGATTTTAAAGGGGCCCTCACAAAATATATATAAGCCAAATTCTATATTTATCAGTTTTATAATCATTTGATTTTGTGAAGGACTACCACTTGACAGTGAATTAATTCACTTTTGGGGTGTCCAGTCTCATATCTGCTGGTGCTTGTTCCTTGCTGTTTAATTTTAATGTTTTTATACATATAAATAAAATAAAATGAAATGGAATTTATAAACTTTTCTTTCCTCAACCTCCCCCCACCGCAACCCAGATTTTCTTTACAAATTTAGGGGCCCTAGAGTCAATCGTCTCTGCATGGGGATGAGTAATGGATATCCATGAACTCGGAATTTCACCCAGTTTTATTGTAAAAAAATTAATTTAGTAAGAAAATAAAATCCCATTAAACTAACCCTGATTTTCAATTAAATTGCCAATGTTCTTGGTCAACATCATTTTTTGGCCTTGTGTTAATATTAATAGGATGCCAAGTATAATTAGCTTGACATTGAAGTGATGTTTTGCCCTACCTGACGTGTAATCGTACTGAATACTCAGTACGTCCCCAAATACTAGCGAAAAAATTTGCAATTGTTTTGGGTGGGAATCGAACCCACGACCTCCAGTTATCTACCCTGATGAGAATTTCCTGACGCAAACTCATTTCCTAATAACACATTGCAGTACCCGCTGCTATTAGGGGATCGAATTCATCACTAGTCGCACGCAAGCTTGGTGGTCTAGTGGTTAAGACATCAGGCTAGATACCTGGAGGTTGTGGATTCAATTCCCAAAAAGCATTGATGTAGCTGCTGCAGCGTTATGGAATACTCCCCCAGAGAGCTTGAGTTTGTGGTCAATAGGCGTTTATCCAATGACCGGTGGTAATAATCTGAAGCGCTTAGAGGCCTTGTTGACGTTTAGTGATATATAGGTAAGTCTAAAATATTTTTTTTACTTTATCAGTCAATTTAAACATAAATTTAAAAATTACATTACTCTTAGCATCTTAGAATCTCTTTTTACACACTTTTTACCATTCATACTTTCATCAGCTCTTAAAATGCAGTGAGATATTTTTAAAATATTTAAGCGCTATACAAAAATGGTATTATTAGAATTATTATTATATTACTGTGATTGATAGTTGAGATTTAGTTCTGCGATGACGAGTAATCTGACTTACAATATGCTAATTTAGGGCACATGACACAACTGGCAGCAAAAAATAAAAAATATATTGTTCTGTTTATTTGCATCGATGTAATAGCGCCATGTGATAGAGCTTCTCAGTATAAACAGCTTGCTCCTGCTAGGTTGATCAAATGTATCAGTTGTTTTCTGATTGGTCAGAAGGACATTTTCAACATTGTGATGATGGATTTTACATCTAAACGATTGAACTCAATGAGATGCAAACATTATGAATATAATTATGCAGGCATCCACTGATATCAAAGCGTTCCAAATTACTTGTAAGATCTCAGAACTAATAATACACACTTTAATATTATTATTATTAATATTATCATTATTAAAATTATCAATACCATTAATAACAATATTGACAGTGATTGTGATAAGAACAAAGACAATGAAATACAATGAAATATCAATTAACCACTGTAAATGCATTAAAATGTAGACAGATGATATTTGAAGTGGGTACCTACAGTAAATGGTCCGTATTTGTACTTGTGTGCAAGTGATAGTGGCAATAAATATATGCAACCAATTTTTTGGAAGAATTCAAAGCTTTATTCCATGAGATAGTATGAAACAAACTCCTAAAAAAAGTGATACAAGCCATTGTTGATTCTATATTTCGAACTCTATTAGATCATCTTCCTGAAGATGAACTAATAAAGTTCGAAATATAGAATCAACAATGGCTTGTATCACTTTATTCCATGAGTTGTCTAGCATGGAGGAAAGAAAGCACCCTGAAAATGCGTGAAAGTCTGTCAAAAATTGTAATAGTATTGGATATGTGAAGGCATCTAGATAGTGCCCAGTTAACATTGTGCAACTATTGACAGCGATACTATTCAAATCTTTGGGGTAAATTGCGATACTTGAGAGCACCTAGACAGATGGTCCCTGGTTGACGACAGTGTGGGAGAATTGACAATGAAGTGAATCTAACCATTTGGAATGAAAGATTGTGTTACAGTAAGAGTGCTTAAGGTTACAGTACAGTACCTACATGGTCCCAAGTTGAGGGTTATAAAACTGTGGAATGATGAATGTTAATATGAGGGTTAGTTGGAATATAAGCTTTCAGCATGATTGGAGCAGCAACAGCAGTTCACTAACACATACCCTACCTTTGGGCCCTTGTATACCTTGATCACCTTTTGGGCCTGGAGGGCCTTGAGGACCTGGAGAACACAATCAGTCATGCAAAGCAGAAACAGGAAGAATTATGCTTAAGGATATATAGGAGGCTGGTGTCAGATTTCATATTTTACTGTATGTACATTTATAGTGACCAGATCTGAATATCATAATACTAGTTTTAGCCCACAAAGAGTCACACTATTTGAAACTTACCAGGCCTCTAAAAGATAACTTTAAGAGAAAACTAGAAAAAAAAGTTTATAAAAAGGGGATAGTGACTAAAAACAAGGAATCAATGTTAAATATTATACATATTGAATTTAAACATTGGTATGTAATATCTATTATTATTATAACAATAAAATAAATTATGATTGGGTATGTTTTAAAATTCAATATATTTCACAGGTCACTAACCTTCAGAACCCTCTGATCCTTCCTGTCCGTCAGTACCGTTTCGACCAGCAGGGCCAGGTACACCAATTTCACCTTTTTCTCCTTTCGGTCCTTGTGGACCTTCAGGCCCTGGAAGACCATCTGTACCGTTGATACCATCTACACCAGGAATGCCAATATCACCTGTGTCCCCTTTCGGTCCTTCTGGACCTACATCACCGACATCACCCTTCTCTCCTTTAGGTCCCTCAGGACCCTGTGTTCCTGGAAAACCATCTGTGCCATTTCTACCGTCGACACCAGGAACACCAGAATCACCTTTGGCACCTTCCGGCCCCTCTGGACCTACAGCACCAACTTCTCCCTTCTCCCCCTTTGGTCCTTGCAGAGGACTCTCTGTGGTAGTGACTTTAACATCTTTGAAGGTCACTTGAGGATCTGGTAAGCCACTGGTGACACTTGTTTGGAGATCAACTCTGTCTGCAGTAGGTACTTGGGAAACAACCTTGCTATCAGCAACTGATTGAGTGGTTAAACTAATTTCTGTTAATTCTTCAACAATCAGTGTTGGCGTGACTTCTGGCGGTAGCATCTACAAAAGCGATAAACTTTAATTTAATATCCCTAAATTGATATACTTAATATTACAATGTACCTTGGAGATTCCAACCATAATTATGTCAATGTTCTAATCCAGCAAATTTAATTAGTTTTTAATTTTGCATTTACTACCATTTACTGTAGATATGGATGTATATAATTATTCTATGTTTACTATGTTTTTGTATTTTATGTTTGGCAACAAAAAATGTGCTCAATGTTTCTGTGTTTTTTATTTTAGGTATAAATTTAATTATTTACAGCCTTTTATTTTGAAGATTGTGGACAAATATATAATCCTGAACTGTACATTACACATAAATAGTTTCATGGTTTCTGACACATGATTTCAATTTGAAGACCTTGGCAGACCTAAGGCTAAATGGATGGGATGATTAGCAATAAATGTACTTTAGTAAAACATGACTACTACTACTTTTTTTGTCTGTAAAACAAATGACTAATTTCATTTCATGGTATGATCACAAGTCAATGATTAACAGGAGTTTTAATAACTGTAGCAAATGATTTCAAAAACAAATTTCCAACACAGTGAACTTTAGTCACAATGAATTTGAACCACCCAATGTGATGCTAAGTTGAAATATTACAAAAGTTGAAGAAAAAGACAATTTCATTTGTAACAATAAATGCATTGCATATGTTCATAATTCAAATTCATTAAATATGACACCATTTTAAAAATGATACAAAGTGAATGTGGTGCATCTCACTGAGGAAATATGTCGGATAATGAAATTAAAATGGTTGTTATGACAGCATTGTGACATTGACGTGTCACAATGCCATTAGCAGTGACACTTCCTGCAGAACACATCCACAGGAAACAATGCTACAGTTGTCTTAATGGTGTTATATTAACAAACTATAATGTTGGATAAACGGTGGGTGGTGCACGATTCAAATTCACTTAGACTCCTTGCAATGCAATCATTGGATAGATTTGCTTGCCATAGGCATAAAACTAAGCAACTTATGTTGCAACATTACATCCAAGGATATGTTGGGGAGGTTGCTACAAAGGAATGTCCTCAAATGATGATAAATTTGTATGATATTCTATTTCAATAAATGAGTTTGAGAGTGGAAATAATGTTAATGAGGCAGGAATGTGGCTTACTTAAATCTATTGCATGTGATATGAAAAACCAGACCCTAACAGAGACTGAAGTTACTATTAAAGTGGTCATTTAATATTTGGAATTTCAACTCAATGTATTAGCTTGCCGAAAGTTTTAACTTATCTAGCAGCGACTATTTATAGCAACTCGTGTATTGCAACAACAATGGTTACAATCGATTCAAGCCCAGGTGGATCCATTCCGACTTGGTTAAAAAAAATATTTCAGCGAACCACAACAAAGTATATTGTATGTACCATTTCGTATTTTAAGTCTTTTGTGCATGGCCTTCCTATTAATTCATAACAGAATTCTGAGTCTTGGGTAGAGGGATGGGATTGTATACATGTCACAATATACTAGTACTGATTTATAAAAACTGTATCCATCCGGCATGATATTTCATTATTAAAAGCTAATATCTGACATAGGTTATGGGAGCAGACCACCGGAAAGGTCCAAGGTCAGCGCCACTGTGATTATTTATGCATTTTTAAATTCAAAGAGATGTTGCACAAAATTCATAGTAGTGCACTACTACTGTAGAAAGTATACTGTCCTTTTTGGTAGCAATAAAAAATTGACACTATCCTAAACAAACAAAAAATGCTGTTCTTTTCATCTTTGTTAAATTTATGGAAATGTCTGTCAGTGGTAGCAACAGCTGGGGAGCTAGCGGGCACAGTGCCCCCTTGCCTGGGAACTCTGGGCCCCATTGGGGAAGAACCAAATCATTTCGTCAGGGAACTGCTTTGAAAAAGCATTCTTAGCCTGAGAGGTGCTTACACTTAAAATTTTCTCCAACCATGAATGTGGCCCCATTATCAGGTACTTTCGGTCTATTACGAAGACTTGGACTTTAATCCCATTGGGGACCTTGAGCCCCTTGTTAGGAAATCTCTGACACTGCCCCAAATGTCTGTTGGAAGATTATCAATACTATTAAAATTTTGGTTTCAAAACTCTTTATAGTTGCTACAGTATTTCCATCAGAGGCATATTATTTATATGTCAAAAAGATGAAAATGTTTGTCATACGGTTTTGTTTGTCACTTCATGTTAGCAAAAACAATAGCTAGTCAAAATAAGTGCAAATAATCTCCTTTACAACCAAAACAACTCCAGATTTGATTCACAATATATTTATCGGGATACAATCATAATATTTGTTGAATATTCTTGAAAATTCATAACATATTAGTATGTTCATACTGTAACCCTTGATTGAACCATACGGAAACAGCGTACCACTTGACAATCTAAATGGGGGAACTGAATAATGCCTGTGTAAAGATAAGGCAATATAAACATGGTACAGCCATTAATATTGGTGATCTGGATTATGAAACTATAATGCTTGGATCTAGTAGTTATTTAGTGTTCCGGGCAATACATGCATAGAGTCTAGTCTTTTGATAATGTGATCATTGTTCTTGGGCGGGTGATAGATAGTTGCTATCAATATCTTCAACTACTTCCTTAGTAGTTTTTAAACCATGTTAATCTTGATAATCAGTAGATATTTCAACTTGCAGTCCTTGATATATTTTATAATGTTACAGGTGTTCCAAGTTCAAGAAGCCACTTCTGGGAGATCGGTTCAAATTTCATTTGTACATGTTGCCAGCTTCCAGGAGACAATTGATAATACATGAATTTGCAGAAGATTAGTTAGTTTCTGAGAGACTTTCGCTTGAGACTTTACTGATTTCCGAGACTCTGAGACTCGTGGACCCTTGTATTTTATATTACAGTGTGGTATGTTTTATTTTGGTTGTGATACTTGTATATTTTTAGTGTGCACAACTTGTTTACATAATTATTTCAAGTAAAATATTCATCAATTCTTAGCTTGAACAGCACATGATTGTATCCAAGATCAATAGACATGTGTATGTTTTTGGGTTGACGTTGATATAGGCATGCCCAGGTCAAACCACGAATTGGCTTATTATTTTGGATTGGATTGGATTTATTTGGTGTAAACACCAAGGATAGCCCACGAAAGTCTAGAAGAAGACTTATTTCCAGTGGGGTCCTTCTGGTGGTGATTGGGCAGTATACCGGGATTTAAATCTTTGTTTTTTTTTATTGCAATAATGATTTATCATATTGTGTTATAGTGGACTGTGTTAAACCCAGTGCTAGACCAGACAGACAGACATCTGGTGAGTTGGAAGAATTCATCATGCAAAGTTGGACACGGAGGAATTTACACCAGGAAACCAAAGATAATTAAAATAAAATTTAGCTTGTAAATTTTTGTAAACAAATCTGTGTATCTTTACAATGTTTATCTAACATGTCAAAAATAAAGCTCACTCACTAATTGATAAATATTAGGGTATAACATGGTTTTCACATGTTGTTTATGCAATGGGAGTGTCTGTGGACCCCTCTAGAAATAAGTTCCAATTGGGACTTTGAGGGTTATCCCAATATCTTCATTGGGATTTTTGACGAGTTTTATTTTCCGATTTTGTATATTTATGTTTGTAATATTGAATAAATCAAACCAAATCAAAGTGTCGCAAAAGCTATGCATCCTTATGTTGAGGTCTTAACTGGATATGATACAGTATTAATAGATCTATTATGTTTGCTAACAGCTGAAATGTTTTGTATGCGACTATGTGCATAATGAAACAGTCCCTTTAAAAACGATGAAAAAAATAAAAGCCACATGAAATTAAATTCTCTACATGGTAATGCATACCACCTCCAGGAAACGGAAGAAAGCCGCAGACAACTTACTGGTTCGATAGAGGTCATCACCATAGTAGGTCCCGCTACAGTATGGTCCCATGATGAAGACGTAGATGATGAAGACGTAGATGATGACGACGTGTACCCCTCCTCATCTCCACTCCCTGATCCCTATAAAGTTATGAATAGTAACATTTTAAAAATGTCAACAGTAAATTATTCAGGCATATTAGGGAGCTTTCGACTAAAAGTCATCTGCACGTGCGAGAACGTTAAGTTCTCAACAACGTAGAACGGTCACGCATGAGTGATTCCATTACAGCGTCACGACGTCGCGCAAATCAAAAGCTCCCTTTTGTCTAAAGCCCTGTCTAGATGATCAAATTTTATTTGACAAAAACATGTGACATGCCTAAATATGTTCATGTTGAGACATGATGACATCGTACATCATGACCATATAAGTCTTGCCATTCCAAAATCAGCACTGTGGCCAAAAAAATGAAAATTGACTTTTTACATTCTTATTCTCCATATTGTAAGCTTCAAAATGGTGGATTATTTACTGGAATCGACTTACTACTGCTAAAGTTTATAGCCTGGTTCTTACGAGAGCCCTAGTATCCGGATCGGGAGCCAACAGTTAGCGCTAAACGTTAGCACCTGCGTGAGAACGCCCAATCGGTCAGCGCTAACCGTTAGCAGTATCCAGACACCGCTAACGGTTAGCAAGCGCTATCGGTTAGCAAGTTTTTGGTATCCGGATCGGGATTTTCTCGTATGGACGCATGGCAGCTAACGGTTAGCAGGATCTGGATCGTGCTGACCATTAGCAGCCGTGTGAGAACATAGCCTATAAGTATTTACAAAGTAATACTGTAACATTCTTATGCTAATTACTCAGTTTAATTGTAGTAACAGTACGCTATTTTGAGATGGCAAGCCTCATACTGTAAAACCTCAAATTGAAGCCCTGGGCTTCTTTTTTTTTTGCGAAAATTCGGATGGGTTTCTTTTCAAAACGGGCTTCTTTACGAGATTGGCTTTTTTTCAAGGATACTTTTGCAAAGTAATGAGGGGGGCTTCTTTCAAATTGAATGCTGTAAATTTTGTGAATTTGTACTATAAAACAATAAATAAGGCCATTGTAACATCAATCTGTATCATGAAGTGTATTTACATGGCAAGTTTGTTTTTAATTTTTTTGTTTTACTATTTCACAAAGAAGACTACACTATCTTGAAAAAAAGCTCATGGGCTTCTTTTCGAGATGGGCTCTTTCTGGAGGCTACTTTTGCAAACTAAATAGATGGGCTTCATCTCGAGATTAAGCCTACTGGACTTCAATTCGAGGTTTTATGGTATATAGGCACATTATGAATATGGACATACAACATTTTTTTTTGTCAAAGAAAATTTGATAATCTGAACTAAGCGTAATAAATCATTTTGTGGAATCAATATTCTCCGGATAAACAGGAAGAACATTTTTCATATTGGCGTCTAAGACTTAGATGATACATATGTCAAAGGTTAGGAGAAACGTGACCATGACCAAAAAAAAAATATCCAAAATCAAAGAACATCCACAGAGCATTCAATAGTAGTAAAATGATTTACAACATGGAATTTAAAAAAATGACATTTACAAAAATGAATAAACAATGATAGTGTTTCTTAGCTCAAGCATACACCATCTTTTTTTATAAATTCTTTCAGACTCAACAATCTTTGACCAGACTTTTGTGTAGCTAAATTCTATGCATTTCTGTGTTTATTCAAGTTGGGAAATGCTTTCTTCAATATAAAAAAGTCTGTTCAAACATCATGTTGTTGAATCCGACAGATAAATAGTGTATACATAGCTTTACATAACATGCAATAGTGTATAACATAATAAAGAAAGTTTTACAAACGATTAAATACACAAAAAAACACAAAAGTAATGTTTGACCCATCAAAAATTGATCTTATGATTTCCAAACAAACCTAAAGTACAAAACAATTTTAGTTTCCATTACCATAATAACTGGACTGCCAACTTTCAAACAAAAACATAACTTACAATATACACATATAAAAATGTTAACTGAATATTACTGTATTTATTCAGATAAAAATAATAACACATGCAACAAATGAGTATAGGTGTACAAATCAAATGTCACAGTAAATGAAAGTGAAACAAATTTACAGGCAACACCACTCTTGAACTAATAGTAACATCATTATTGAAAGTTTCATAGATCTACCTGTAGCAAGGTTTGACAGCTAAATCCAAAATCCATGTCTTTCCAAAAGGATTAAAAAGGGACATATGATTTTATTTTGGCTCATGAGGCATTATTACAATAAACTCTGATATAATAAGCTATGTTAAAGACAGGCTCCGGAGAAAAAAATTGTTTTGATATGTCGTACAAATAATTTTTCTAAGACACAAAAGTATATTTGACGAAAAACATGGGAACAGTTAATGAGATACAGATTTTAGAATATTTAAAAATTAGGTGAAAAAAGGAGTGAGCATTCAAAAATCTGTATCTCATTAACTGCTCCCAAGTTTTTCGTCAAATATGATTTTTGTCAGTTCTACGACATATCAGATTTTTTTTTCCCTTCCAAAGTCTGGCTTTAAAATGAGGGTGACTTCTATAACATTCAGTACTCTATTGACACCGATTGGGCTGACATTGTATTAAAGCAAGGAACAATTAAAAGACAAAAATTTAACTATAGAATTAACATATTTTAGGCCAAACAAAATCAATTGCTAGTTCCACGTCCCCACCCTCATCAAATTTTAGAGCCTCATGAAAAAATTTACTATTTGCTATTTTTCAAAAAACATTCATTTTTCATGCAAGAGGTTGGAACATAAATGGCAGCAATACATTACAAAGATTCAATTTACTTCTTAAAAAAAAACTATTTTTACTATTTACCAGCCTGTTTACCATTAGTAAACAGGCAGATAGTAAATACCCTAACCAAAAAATAATTTCAAATCCCAGAGACGTGAAACTAACAATTAATTTTATTTGGTCTTATAATACATATTTAAAAAATATCTGAAGTATTAATTAAAACATATACAGTGTGAACAATACTAATAATAATAATAATAATAATAATAATAATAATAATAGTGAAATCAATTGGACCGCTATTTTGTGTGATTTTTCTTTGCACAATCAATATATTTTGATGTGTTGTAGATATTTTGTATTAATTTGATATATTTATTGTTAATGCTTTCGTCTAACTCTCTGTTTATTATATTTTTAAAAATAAAGAAATAATAATACTAAGTTGTTTGCTAGTTATAATCGAGTGATTTGGGGCTGTTCTGTAAAGTGATAAATAATTCTCATTTATTTATTAATATTATTATTTCGTTTACATAGAGTAATCATTAACATTTAAGTTATTTAAATGTAATGCAACAGAAATTTTAACAATTATTAATAATAAAATTCTCAGTGACAAAAATCTGAATCAATTTTTGAGACTGGTGTTATGAACTTTAGACCTACATCACTGATGACCATGTTATAGAGTTGGACAGCTGATGTGGGATAAGGATCTCCTGGAATGTTAGCTCAATAAACTCCAAACTTAAAGGGCAATCCCGCTGAAACATGCTGATAAATTGATGACACACTTTTGTTCCTCTGGTATAAGTCGACCACCCTTAAACACAGAATTGGACTGATTTTGTGGGGGGGGGGGGGGGGACTTATATTCCAGATCATCAGATCCAGAGTAGCCCTGGTATGACCCTTTCATAGCCCATATTCCTGGTCAGTGGTCCCTGTAGTCCCTTGAATAAGATTCTTGTTAGTTCATTTACCCATATGACTAAACGGATTAGTAGCCCATTATGGTATGACCATTTGATAGCTTATGCTTGCTCCATGGTACCTCAAATACTATAACCCCTATAGCCCAGAAGACAGGACATTTGGTAGTCTATATGGCTAGACCCTGGATAGTGTATATGGTATGTAACCCAGGATAACAAACGACGGTACACAAACATTGTAACAAGATTCACGAACAACTTCCCAAACATAATTATGAACATCTGTAATCAACAGACACTTTTAATTTATCTTCGTAAACATTAAAAAAAAATACGTATCTAGCGGAAAATTATAAGAAATGGATATGGCTTTGATTCTATGTCAAGTTGGAGGATACGCATGTTTCCTTGTTGATATTTGGACCAACTTAACACACATCAGAGGAAACAGAACAACCTACAGTAAATGAATCATGCAGTGTGGACCCGAAGTGGTTCATGGTTTACCACATGAGTTTCACTAAGTGTTTAATCTGTCTCTTATACACATCTAGATGTGTATAAGAGACAGCTTGTTAGTTCATTTACCCATATGACTAAACGGATTAGTAGCCCATTATATTATGGTATGACCATTTGATAGCTTATGCTTGCTCCATGGTACCTCAAATACTATAACCCCTATAGCCCAGAAGACAGGACATTTGGTAGTCTATATGGCTAGACCCTGGATAGTGTATATGGTATGTAACCCAGGATAACAAACGACGGTACACAAACATTGTAACAAGATTCACGAACAACTTCCCAAACATAATTATGAACATCTGTAATCAACAGACACTTTTAATTTATCTTCGTAAACATTAAAAAAAAATACGTATCTAGCGGAAAATTATAAGAAATGGATATGGCTTTGATTCTATGTCAAGTTGGAGGATACGCATGTTTCCTTGTTGATATTTGGACCAACTTAACACACATCAGAGGAAACAGAACAACCTACAGTAAATGAATCATGCAGTGTGGACCCGAAGTGGTTCATGGTTTACCACATGAGTTTCACTAAGTGTTTAATCTGTCTCTTATACACATCTAGATGTGTATAAGATTTTCTTTAATTTTATAATTGAGGGCCATTTTTTATTTCTTGATTCAATTCTTGCTTATACAGTATTTAAATATTTGAAGACTAAAAAAAATATATATCATTTCTATTACCGAATTTTTCATTGGGGCAATTTTTACCTATCTGTCATATGGGGCCATTTTTACCGGGGCCATTTTTTCCGGGACCATTATTTCCGGGGCCATTTTTTCCGGGGCCATTCTTACCTACATTCGCCACAAATAACCCTATTCTCAA